CATGAATAAATAAATAAAATCTTTTTAAAAGAACATGAACACAGAAGGCACAGGCAACAAAAGAAAATAAAAGTTGACTTCATTAAAATTAAAATCTTTTGTGCAAAAAAGGACACTATCAATAGCGTAAAAAGACAACCAAAAGGATGGGAGAGAATATTTGCAACTCTTGTATCTGGCCATGGATTATTTATAACTCATATATCTGACAAGGGATTAATATCCAGAATAAAGAACTATAACTTAAGAACAAAAAAAAATTTAAAAGTGGACAAAACATGAACAAGCACTTCCACAAAAAATGGTCAATAAGCACATGAACAGATGTTCAGTATCACAGAAAAACGCATCACAGAGAAATGATCAAAACCGCAATGAGATACCACTTTACCCATTAGGATGGCCATTCTTAAAAACAGAAAAACAAAAAATAACAGTTGTTGGTGAGGATGTGGAGAAACTGAACCCTTATGCACTGCTGATGGGAATGTAAAATGGCACAGTTGCTATACAGACAGTATGGCAATTCCTCAAAAAATTAAACATAAGATCAGCAACTTTACTTCTGAATATGTACTCCAAAGAACTGAACATAGGGGTCTGAACAGGTATTTGTATACAGAAGTACTATTCACACGTCAAACTGTGGAAACAACCCAAATGTCCACCGACTGATGGATTAAAAAAAAATGTGGCATATATATATATAATGGAATATTATCCAGCCTTTAGAAAGAGTGAAATTCTGATACATATGATAACATGGGTAAGCCTTGAAAACATTATGCTAAGTGAAAGGGATCAGACACAAAGGACAAATATTGTGAGTCACCTAGAGTAGTCAAATTCGGAGACAGGAAGTAGGACAGTGGTAACCGGGGACTAGGAAGATGGAGGAACGGGAAACGAGTGTTTTAAGGATTCTGTTTGGCATGATGTAAAAGTTCTGGAGATGAATAGTGGCAAAAGTTGTGAAACATGCATGTAATTAATGTCACTAAATGGTACACTACTTGAAAGTAGCTAAAATGATAAATTTTATGTCTTATATATTTTTAACAAATTTAAAAAATGAAGATTCAGGGCAGCCCCAGTGGTGCAGGGGTTTAGCGCCGCCTGCAGCCCAGGGCGTGACCCTGGAGACTCTGGATCGAGTCCCTCGTCGGGCTCTCTGTATGGTGCCTGCTTCTCCCTCTGCCTGTGTCTCTGCCTCTCTCTCTCTGTCTCTATGAATAAATAAATAAAATCTTTAAAAAAAATAAATAAAAAATGAAGATTCAACTGAAAACTGACTCCACAAAACTCAACATTTAATATAGATATTATTAATTACTATGCTTGATTGGTTTGTCAATATAAAATGAATCAAGTTAGAAAAACTTCTGTAATTAGGCACTTTTTAAGGGATATCTTTATTTATTTTCTTAATATTTTATTTATTTATTTATTCATGAGAGACACAAGGAGAGAGAGAAAGGCAGAGACGCAGGCAGAGGGAGAAGCAGGCTCCATGGAGGGAGTCCGACGTGGGACTCGATCCCGGGTCTCCAGGATCAGGCCCTGGGTGGAAGGCAGACGCTCAACCACGGAGCCACCCAGGCATTAAGGGATATCTTTAAATACAGTGTTTAAAATTTGACCTATACAATAAAAATTAATCTGTCAGAGAATAAGCAAACTTGAGAAACTATATTATAAATTCTTATTCTCATCCTTATTAATTTCTTTTTCTGATCTTATGTTGTAGTACTTTCTTTCATTACAGAACTCTATCCAAAATAGCTAAAATTTTAAAGTAAATAATTTCATAAATGGAGTAATGGTATAAAGGATTCCAGTGCTCAACCTGAATTACATAGACGTTTCAGTATAAACCAAAGGAAAAGGAGGGAGAAGGTGTTGCCTTCTAAGTCTAAAACATACATGCATTTTTCTAGGTCTAACACATAAGTTAAGACATTTTAACTTGCAAAAAATTAAATGTAAATATGTAATAACACAAAGAAGAATTTCACATAATCCATGTTTTATCAAAAGAAACTTTTCCAAGGATCATCATATAAATCTCAAAGATTCTGATGCTGTATCACCACTTGTAAGACAAACGTGTGCTCTTTAGACTTAGTCAACAGTGACAAAAACCAGGATTATTACTTTTAGGAGTAAACTAAATGACATGCATAAGTATCAAAGTGAATCTTAATTTATTAAGTGATCATTATATAAAAGTGAGCAACTGGAACCAAGTAATAAAAATAATAAATTACATGGATGGAAGCCACTGACTAGATGTAAGCACGGAGGAATCTGGGCATACAAATGACATGAATCAACAAAGTGGTGCTGCCATCTTAAAAGAAATCTAGTATTTTATCAGATTAATGCAAATGATCTAAGATAAATTAGTATCAAAGTTCCACATTTTAAGAGAGGCCAAAACAAAGGGTCACCATCATTCTACTCCTGTTGCCATATACTAGACTATAGCATATAACAATATATTAGCTAAATGATCTGGAAAACCCCAGAGCCAAACAAACCTGAATTTAAAAGACGTACCACTGGGTTATTATCTTAGTCATGATTTTAAACCTTAAAATTCTGTGGTCAACTCCTAAAGCAGTGTATGTAATGTGAAATCAGATAACCCTTGGATCACAGAGCTTAAGGGAAGTCAAAATACTGAGGAGTCAGGATCTTTCTGGAAGGAAAATGGCAGCTCTTAAAATCTTAAAAGATGGATGTACTAAGAAGGAGGTCCACGAGGGAAAAATGGGAGTTAAGGTAATTTAATTGGAAAAGTCAAGGATGGGACTGTGATAAGCTTTACTATGTGAAACACTGTGTGAACCAAGGTTTCCTCACCACCAATGTAGAATGTGAGGATTACCTTGACATTTCATGTTCTCAGAACATCTGCAGAATCCACTGAACTTTTGAAATGTACTAGAATGCTGACCTTTTACTTAATAAACCACAATAAAGTATTTGATAGATTATTTTCTAATTACAAAAATGAAGTAAGAAAATGCTGAAGTTCTGCTCATTTAGAACAAACTTAAAAGAGGAAGGGATCAGGCAGCCCATGTGGCTCAGCAGTTTAGCACCGCCTTCAGCCCAGAGTGTGATCCTGGAGACCGGGGATCCAGTCCCATGTCGGGCTCCCTGCATGGAGCCTGCTTTACTCTCTGCCTGTGTCTCTGCCTCTCTTTGTGTCTCTCATGAATAAATAAAATCTTAAAAAAAAAAAAAAAAAAAAGAGGAAGGTGTCTACCAGTATAACTCCCTACTCAGATGATTTCCCTTCAGGATAACTAAACTTTGGTTTACTAATCAATCAGTTCAGCAAATTAATGATAAAGGCTATAATTTATACTTAAAACTTAAGTTTTAAGCTTTAGATTAAAAACTTTTACTCATGCATACATAGAACGGGATGCTTTTGGATCTAAAAAGGTTTTAGCTTCATTTCTACAAACATCACTAATCAACAAGGTAATAAAAATTGAGACAGAAAGTAGTGGCATTTATTATTTTTAATCCTAACACTAATATTGAAATTCCTCTCTAATGATCTCAGAAGTGAGAGTTTCAATATAGTCTATGATAACTTTGTAAGTGGTAATTCTAGTTCTTAAAGAAAAACTCTAATTACATATAAAGCAATCTTATAAAATTCTACCTTCCTTTTCTTGGAATAAAAAAATCACTACCTGGCTTTGAGAAAAAAGTAAAGTGACAGTTAAATATTACTATAAACTGAGCAGAAACCCATCTTTTTCATTTAGAACAGATTTATGACTTATTTAAGAATATTTATGTTAAAAATTAGGAAGAAGCTTTTAAAGACTATAACCTATATTTATGATAAATGCACTATAATGTCTGTTTACAATAAAATATGTATCTAAATAAATGCACTTAGTATATAGTTCTTTAAAGAATATTAGCATTTTAATAGCAAGATTAATCAATGACAATGAAACTATATTTTCCTTAGGAAAAAGAAACTATAAACAATATACACTTAAAGCAATGACTGGAAATCCTAAATAATTTTCTGTTATCAAGAGAGTCAATTTAACAATTTAATTTTTCACAAAATTAACAATCACTATTACTTTTATACCAAAGAGGCATAATTTGGGGGAGACAAATCTGTGAGGATTTTGAAAATTTTCGCTATCCATTTCTCATTTTTAAGATGTGATGATTCATGGGTCTAATTAAAATTATAATTTTCAGAAATATGCAAAAAAATCCATGTTAAATAACAACAGTGGACCTTGAAGGCATGAGCTTTTGTCACTTTATTGTTAACCAATGAATGTTATCCAAAATTATAGATGTAATTGTAACTTAATTGTACAACACAAAATTATGCTAATGGTAAAAGCCTGTTGGAATTTACCAAATACTCATTAATATATTTTACATTGCTATATGAACATGTGCTCTCAGCTGCTAATAAGAGTTATAACTGATTTAATCACTATGAAAACCCATATTGCAAATAGTTGTTCCTGTTTAGAAAAATTCACACAGCTTTAAAAATGGATTAAATCCATTTTAATCCTAATCTACAAATAGATTATAAACAGCAAATATAACTGGTAGTTTTTCAACACTGATATCAAACTGATGTAGCAATGGTAGTGCACACAATCAAAATGTAGAAAATTAATAAAAATCCAATGGAAGTCCAAGTTTTCACTTACTATGGCAATGGCTTTGATGCTTTGGAAAAGTGAACATTTATGCTTTAACGCATGAAGAGCAGAGTTCAACTATTCCTCTGATGTGCTGCAAGGAGAAATACTCTCCTCTGCAGTGTTTTGAAGCATGTGCACAACCACCGTACAACAGTCACTTCAAGGTTATTAACCAGTTATCTTTTGTCCTACAAAGTCCAAAAAATATATTAAATGCAACTTTTCCTTTTCATATGTCTGCCCAGATTAATCCTTTTATAGTCAGCAAAATCAAAAAAGCACAAGAGATATTTTCGGACACAACTTCAATCTACTGTGCATGAAAAATGCTTAACAAAATGGCAATTTTAATAGATAAATGTAAATTTGAGTGCATAATACCAAATGAAAAGTAGCTGAACCACACAGAGAAAACAAGGCTTTCTTTATGTCCAAGTCTAGATGTTTTACAATAAACAAAATATTAGAACATGTGAATATCAGAACATCTTTCAAACTGGAAAGATTTCTTAAGACATAATTGAACTCAACATAACCTAAAATTGTAATTTCTAAAATAGGATTAACAAACCAAATTTAACTATTTTTAGAGAATGAGAAAAATAAGCACAATGATTTAGAAACCGAATCTGCTAAAATGATTATGCAAGTTATATCAAGAAATGAAGGTACAGACATTCATATGCTACAAGGGCAAATCTCTCTCTCCCTCTCACTCACTCACACTCTCTCTCTCTCTCTCTCTCTCACACACACACACACACACAATTTCCTCTGACATACAACACCCCTCCAGGAAGATAGTATACCAGCAAGAGCTTACAATTTTAATGTAAATCAGAGTCCCACAATTCATCTCAACAAAAAGGCAGTAAAAAATTAAGCACTCTAAGATATTCTGCAGGAAAAGGAAATCTCAGAAATACTCCTTGCATGATTGAAAGTATTGGTATGTATTATAAAATGCAGAGCTTTACACACTCCACTGGGTTGGAACAACCAGTCATCACAGGTGTAGTAGTGAGGTAGTATGTATTACTGCCCTTCTTTGGGACTGATGTTTTTATATGGTGCCCTTCCAGAAAGGTTCAGGGTTTGGGATTTTTGTTTTGCTTTTTGTTTTTTCATGATTATAATAAATTATCAACAAACAAATTTTTTTAAATTAAACATCTGTCTAAATCAGTCTATGAAAAACAGACTTTTTAACCTTTCAGAGACAATTACTATTTGCAGGTAGTATTTCTTCCATAAATTCTCCTAGGGAACTATTACCTGCTGTCTACACCTTTGTGAACGGGAGGCAAAGAAAATCAAAGGATGACAGGAGATGAACACCAATCAATTCAGCTATCAAGGAGGACTGTAATTAAGTAAGCAAATACCAAATACCCAATAGTTAAATTGGGATTTAAAAATATTAACCACCAGCTGCATGCTTCACTGTTAAATATTCTAAATCCTTTTCATGATTCATAGCCATCTTCTACACAGTTATCACATGATCTACCCTGTCACCTACCCTCATTTTAACCACTGCCAATGATCTGTATGATGGCAGAATTATGGCTATTGGCATGGCAAGTTAGGAGAAGGGCACGCCGAATGAGACAGGAGCAAGACAGAATGTGGAAATACAAGCAAAATTTGGAAGGGGCAAAAGAAACAGAGCACTCTACCTGAACACTCATTAAGTCACCATCATCCTTTGAACTGTACAAAGTACTAAAATCACGCATACACATTTGTCAGACATGATCATTAGTGTTAATCTCCAACAGAAAAAAAAACAATGGAAACTGAAAATGTGACAGGAGGCGATGGAACGCTGTCCTTCACTCCCTGGCCCAAAATGAAAAGAAAATCAAGCATGACATCACACTGCCTTAATGTTGAAGAGCTTCCCTCAAGTACGTCTTTAGCCACCACAGTCAACTGGTGTAAGTGCTTTGGCAAGGTGGGATGCGTTCCATCACATCTGCAAAGGCCTGCTTTTCTCTGTTGGTGGTTCAGCTTATGAAGAACATGTATGCAAAATAACAGCTCTCACATGGCTTCAAACTCATCAATCCGCTGCTTGGTGTTGCCTTGTCGAATCTGCCGAAGAGTCTTGTACTTATCACGGCCGGCTTTAACATTCTCAGCATGAAGAACATCATTTTGTGTTTTCTTGGTTTCATCTCTAGCTTGGGCTAATTCTGAACTTAGTGCCTACGTTTAAAAAAGAAAAAAATGACTAGGATTTTTTTTCTTAGATTTTAAAAAGCTTATGAACACACACACACACCACATATCTTATATTTTCATATACTAAAATTCCCATTGTCACATCTTTTTCTTTAAAGTGTGTAACTTTGTTTTACTTGTAGCCACAGCAGAGGTGGTGGCAAAGGTGGAAGACCCATTGCCTTTCATTTCTATACTCGTCAACCATGACATTCCACATTTCCTCAACTTTCTCATACAACACTTGAAAGGATTTACCAAAAAAAGGCTCAATGGAGACATTACAGAATGTTAAGATCTAAAATCTATGCCATGAGAGAAACTTTCTCCAAAGTCTTAGTGTATTTATTAAAACTATCACATCATTTTCTTCTGTTTATTAATATTTAAAGATCTCACCAATTAAAAAATTAGAGAACTTTTCTGGAAAAAAAGGTCTAATCAAGTTAAAAATTTCCTATTTTGCTCTATGTGCTTTTAATAAAGTGACCTTTTGTCACTATAAAATGTGAATAGTTCAGATTACATAATGTCATACAGTTAGTCTATAAATTATATTGTTTTTAATGTAGACTTCACTGGTTAAAAACTAAACTAATTTGTCTTTTAAAGAGCATTAAAATACCTACTACCTTTTAACATTGATTCCAGTTGTAACTGAAGGCTTAATCACCCAAGGCTAACAAACACTTGCTACAATGTAAGAAGTGAAACAAGGTGACTGTAAGCCAATTACTCATAAACCAACCACAAGGACAGCTAGTGGTAAAGGCTTAAAAAAAAAAAAGTGTTCCTTTTTAATAAGTTTGTCTTAATAAATGGGAGGAATACTAGCTATATTTTATAAATGCACATACAACAACAAATTTTAAATACCTGGAGTTGCTTCTTAACGCGCTCATTTTTTTGAGTTTCTGTTACACGTTCCTCTTCACTTCGATGGTTCATCACCCCGTCATTTGACAATTCAGCACTGGCCTCAGCATTATTCTCATCATGCTCATCATGTTCATTTTCTGTTGGAGGAACGACTGGTGGTGGTGGAGGTGGAGGAGGTGCAGACATCACAGTTTTGAGTTCTTCTTTGGTCTTTTCCAAGTCTTCCTGGGCTGCAAAAGCCTGAACATTAAAAATAAGTTTATCAGCAAGTTCCCTTAAAATTGGTAATTAAAAGAATCAAGTTATCCTTCTTCCCTAAAAGAAACTATATTTCAGGGCAATGAAAATAAGGGCTACTGATGAAAGCTCTATTTTTATACAGGAATGCCAGCAAGTAGGAGTGACAGAACTAAAATACGTCACTTTGCAAAACCTAATAAAATTGTTAATTCTGGCAAGAATGATCCAATGTTGCTAAAATTGTTATGCAAATGGTTGATGAGAAATGTACTAATATAATGCCAATGAATGCCACATCTAAGAGATCATGTTTTAGCCACAAGGGGGAACATGTCACCAGTCAGGAGGAATTGGACCATCATTAATTACTCTAATCCAGTCATCAATTAAAATCATTTATGCTAGGTTAACCCGTTAATAAGTGTCTCCTGAGATGATACAACAGGAAATAGCCAACATTACCAATTATTTGGGTGGTATATTGTTGGTTTGCCTAGAAAAGTCCTGTTTTACGCTGTGGTCCATAATTATATTAATAACAACACGTTTCACTCTAAAATATGTTCTGATTTGGGTGATAAATTATATGGCAGTCTCACTTCTAAGGCATTGTAGCCAAAAACTTTTAACTTCAATCCTTTAAGTTTTTAGGTCTATCTTCCAGTTTACAAGGAATACTAATGATAATAAAAGGAGAAGGTAACACCACGAGGAAGCAACTAAACAAAAATAAAGGAGAAGGGACAGACAGTCTGCAGGTCCTTGCAATAATTCGGTATCATAAAAAGGACTGTCCTATTTTAAAAGAGACTTAGAACAAACATATACAATGCAAAGTCCTAATCTGGACACTGTCCTGCCAAATTAGCTATAAAAGATTTTGGGTCAATTTTGAATGTAGTCTGCCCAGAAATAAACTCACACAAATATGATCAATTAATTTACAGTGAAGCAGCCAAAATTATACAATGAGGAAAGGACGGTCTCTTCAATAACCGGGTACTGGGGAAACTCAGCAGACATGTGCTAAAGAATAATAGTAGACCACTATTTTACACCATACAGATTATCAACCCAAAATGATCATGAATCTGAACAGATCTAAAACGATAAAACTCCTAGAAGAGAACATATGTAGCAAGCTCCTTGACATTGGTCTTGACAATTATTTTTTGGATTGGACACCAAAAGTAAAGTTAAAAAGCAATAATAAGTGGGACTACATCAAACTAAAAAGCTTCTGCACAGAAAACTATTAAAAAAATGAAAAGGCAACCTACTGAATGGGAGAAAATATTTACAAATCACATATCCAAGTATAAAAGAAACTCACACAACAGTTAAAAAACAATCCGATTTAAAAATGGGCAGAGGATCTGAATAGATATCTTTCCATAAAAGATAAAGATGGCCAACAGACACATGGAACAGGTGCTCAACATCACTAATCAACATGGAAATGCAAATCAAAACCACAATGAGCTACCACCTCACACCACTCAAAATGGCTATTATCAAAAAGAAATAGCAAGTATTGTCAAGGACATGGAGAAAAGAGAACCTTTGTGCACTATTAGTGAGTATGTATATTGGTGCAGCCACTATGGAACACACTACAGAGGTTCTTCAAAAAATTAAAAATAGAACTACTATATGATCTAGCAACTCCACTTCTAGGTATTTATTCCCCAAAAATGAAAACACTAAGTTGAAACAATATATACCACCATGTTCACTGCAGCCTTATTTACAACAGCCAACATAGAGCAACCCTACTGTTCATCAAAGGATGACTGGGTAAAGAGAGTGTGGTTTACATATACACGTGAATATTATTCAGCCATAAAAAAGAAACTTGCTGTCTATGTCAACATGGATGGAACTTGAGGGCATTATGCAAAGTGAAGTAGGACAAAGACAAATAGCATATAATCTCATTTATATGTAAGTGTAAAAAAATTTAAAAACAGAGCTCATGGATACAAAGAACAAATTCCTGGTTACCAGAAGTGGAGGGTGTCAGGGAGGATGACGAGTGAGCAAATGCTGGAAGGGTCTAAAAAGTACAAACTCCTGGGGTGCCTGGGGGGCTTAGTCGGTAAAGCATCTGCCTTCGGCTCAGATCATGATCCTGGGGTCCTGGGATTGGGCCCTGAGCCAGGCTCTCTGCTCAGGGGAGTCTGCTTCTCCCTCTCCCTCTGCACCCCTCCCCCCTCCCCGTTTGTGCTCTCTCCCTCTGTTTTCTCTCTCTCAAATAAATAAATAAAATCTGTAAAAAAAAAAAAGAAAGAAAGAAAGAAATTTCATTATGTATCATCTTCATTGCATCCCTTAAAGACTTCATGTCCATTATTTGGTGGTCATGCCCTTGAGTCTACCACAAGAGTCTCTCAACAATCCTGTTCCTCTTCTTTCTCAGGTAATCCTACCCATTAGAACAATCCATCCTCCACATTGATTGCTACATTATTTTTATAAAGCCATACTTGGTCATGTTATAGTCCTGTTTCCAATTCTTTATAGCCCAATGTCTACAGACACTCCCTATCATCTTGCAATTTATTTAAAGCCCTTTACAACTTAATTTCCTCTGTAATCTTCTGGCCACATCTCTCAGGATTTCTGAACCTATACTCCAAAGTTTAGGTTCAAGTCTGCCATGTACATTCTATTCACATTCAGTTCCCTCTGGAAAGATGAACTTTGCAGTCTCTAACCACTTTTAATCTTTTCTACCCCGAAATTCAATTTACTATTCAAGATCCAGCTTAAATTTAGAAAGGTTTCCCCAACACCTGCCTTAATCCAAAGAAATTAATCACCTCTTCTGTGTTCCCAAAGTACTTAGCTTGCATCAACAGATTAGTAATTTATTACAATACACACATTCATATACACAGTTATCTTTTCTCTCTAAATTGTGACCGTATCTTATATTTATCTCTATAAACTCAGCATACTACTGGGTACAAAAACAGATATTCCATAACTGATACTGACTGAAGAAACAAATGATCACCTTGTGTTGCCACTCAGTAGCTTCCTCTTCCTTTTTCTTCTTGGCTTCTTCTAGAAGTGCAATCTTGGCAGTGAATTCAGCAAGTTCTGCTGCCTAAAATAAAGAATATGATTACCAATACTTAAAAAAAATACATTTCTAAAATTAACACTCTGTCAACAAAGCTTTAATGTACATCCTTGGGCTGTTTTATATGTTTCTCTTTTAGACAGTCTTTTATTTTAAAAAAGGTAATATTTAAGATCATAAATATTTATAGTAGGTCTTATGAACTAGTAAGCAAAGTGAGAGCAGTTTTATTATTTAATAGACAAGTAGTTCTTCCTGTTTCATAGCAGGAACTTAAATGTACAACTCAGGTGCTATTTTTTAACTTTGATCAATAAAGTACTTGCTAAAGCCTACAAAAGAAAAAGAATGCAATTTATATAATGCTTTCTAGTTTAAAGAGCATGTTATCAAATAGTCTCACTGGATTCCCCAACAATCCTATTTGGTGCCTTTACTCCTTTTTTCAAAGGGAAGGATCTGAAGCTCAAAGATTCAAGGACATGTAGCAAGTAAAATGTCTGAGCTAATATTTAATTCCAGGATCTTTTAAATGTCATGCCTAAAAAAAAAAAAAAAAAAAAAAAAAAAAGTCATGCCTACTCAATACTTGCAAGTTCAATAAACAAACAAAAACATTCAATAAATTATGGCCTACAGTTATCTTCTAAGAAGGAATGAGAACATAGTGTCAATTTATCTAAAAAAAAAAAAAACGCATTACTGGCTTATGCGAAGTTTAAGTCAATCTGAAATCTTTTGTTAGCAATAGGCTCCATTTATATTTTAATATCTTTATTTTTAGGTGATTTTTTTTTAAGGCCGAAATAAAACTTTTAGGTTTATTTCCACACTTTGTAGCTTTGGTTTGCCTTCCAGATGTTAATATACTGAATTTTACAAGGTTTGTTTCATCATGCTTTTGTCTCAATTGTTCTTTTTTCTGAAACAGAACTAAGACAGGTTCCTGACCAGTTGTTCCTGATTCTTCATCTGATCGGCAGCTTGTTTTGCGATAGCGGACTTAGCTTCTTCAGCAGCTCGACGTTCCTTTTCAAGCCTTTCTGCTTCTTCCTTTGCTCGTTTTCGTTCCTGGTCCAGTTCTAGAGCTTTCCGAGTCTGTTCTTCTAGTTCTGTCAAATATATGTACACCGCCCACCCCCCACCAAACAGCGGTTAATTCCAATTATTCTCATTATCGAAAGAAGCCAAAATGGTAATGAAGAATCTAATCTAAAATCAGAACATCTGCAAATGAATATATACTTTGTTTTAACTTGGCAAAAGTCTAATAATTTTTTAAAGTACTATACAAAAAATTTGAAGAAATGAAAATTCTTTGTAATTCAATGTATAGCATAGGCTAGAAGTACATCTTTAGTTTTAAAAAAAAAATAGTATCTCCAAAGTATCACAACTTGCCATCCATTTCAAAACTCTATAAAATACACTTTAAAACTTATAAAATTTTTTACTTTACTAAGTATCAGGTAAGGAAACTCAAGACATTAAGACTGAAAACAATACTGATTTAAAACAGAAATTTTGATGTGAATCCTATCAATTATTAAAATTTTTTGAATTATTGGTACATATTCATTCTTCAGGTATGAAGACAAGATAATATTTGGAGGTAAGTGACATGAATTTTAATCTTTCAGTATACAGATCATAAAGTTAAGTGTTTTCTTATTTGATGAGTGAGAAAAAAACATTATCACTACAAAGCCAAAAATTTTTATGTAAGTTTAAAAGTACTACTTTTAAAGATTATTCTGACAACTCTTGTTTAAAAACAAGGACATTTTGGGACACAAAACAACAGAATTTGTCTGTTTAAGAGGGTGCAATGTCCTATAAATAATGATTCTCCCTCTTTGTATACTCCCCAAAGGAGGAACAACTACAAATCTGTATGTTGTGAGGTTTGAAAGCTAATTGTAACACACACACTTCTTTTCACCATTCTTAATTTTGTTGGTCCTGGTCAGAATTAATTTAGGTAATTGCAGTTAAGACTTGGGAGGTTTGGAGAGGGGCAGGAAGAGAAATGACTGGTTAAAGTTTAAATTCTTGATAAAATAATGTAAAAATTTTATGTGGCTATCTGGCTATACAGATGTAATGTATATAACACTGAATATTGCCAAGTCTAAGCTCTAGGATTGTTCATTTTAGAATTTGCCTTCTAAAACTGGGACATCAAGCTAACTTATCAAACTTTTCTTAGGACCATTCTTTCCATCTAGTTGATTGATATATAAAGCACACAAAACTCATTGTTGTATCATTCATCTAAACTAGCAAACAAACTAAAGAAAATAAAAACAATGCATTTTCTCTCAGAACAAAAATTCCTTCTGTACTATGAAAGAGGAAAAAAATAAGTTTGGGTTTTAAAGTTAAATTTTAAATTAAATATTTCCCAATATTCATTATTTTCTGTCAGTTTTTTGCAGTAACTATCATTTTGAAGAATATAGACAAGGCTATGGCTCTTTGTGAATTATACAAAAGTGTAAATTATTTTAAATGTTGAAAATAAATCAAAACTTCAAATCTATTCTAGTCTCTTCTAGAAAGGAATGTTTTGAAATGACTTCTTTCTTTCCTCCCCAGTTAAATGAGAACAGAGACTGGAAAACTATCATCTACTAACCCAATGCCTTATTTTTGTAAATAAAGTTTTACTGGAACTCATACCCTCATTTAGTTCAATATCCTCATATGTTTATGTACAGTACACAACTGCTTTCACTATGCAACAGCAGAGCTGATCACTGTACCAGAGACCATGTGGCCTGCAAAGCCTGAAATATTACTATCTGGCCCGTTACAGAAAAGTTTACAAATCCACGTATTAGAGTATTTCTATGAAACAAACATGCCTCTAAGACCTTGGATCCCATTAGAACACCTGCAGGGAAGGATTAGCTTAAAAAGGTAAATATCAGTATTTTGCTTCCCGGGTTCATAGAAATCTAGGACCTGTAATTTTTGAGGTCTGGCATATGGGAAGAGGGTATCAAGGAATATGGCTTCTTTTAGAAGATCAGCTCTTTCAGGAAGAAGATTAAAGGTTCCAAGAATAAGCTGCTTCTTTCATTAATAGTACTGCATTGATGGCATTGATGTAGATGGTTATGGTGTTTGGGAGTAGATCAAGGAAGTTTAAGCTAATAAAATTTGTGAAAGGCTCTCCTTCCCCATCAGGCTTGAACACAAATTTGATTTCTTAAAAAAAAAAAAATTTGATTTCTGACAGGTCTAAGATTTTGCAAGCCAAATGATCTCTTATGTTCCCCTGAGGGCAAAGCTTAGAAACTACATAACTGCAAAAGAATTAGTAAAAAATACATTAAGGAACTATATCCCAAAAGGATTATAGAGTTTTCTTCCTTTTCCCAGTCAAAGATAATAGTTTATTAAGTATCACATTCTTGGGCAGCCCTGGTGGCGCAGCGGTTTAGCGCTGCCTGCAGCCCAGGGCGTGATCTGGAGACCCTGGATCGAGTCCCGCATCGGGCTCTCTGCATGGAGCCTGCTCCTCCCTCTGCCTGTGTCTCTGCCTCTCTCTCTCTCTCTCTCTCTCTGCATCTCTATGAATAAATAAATAAATAATCCTTAAAAAAAAAAGTATCACATTCTTCCTTAGGAAAAGAGTACTGTTGTTAAAAAAAAAAAAAAGGGAAGTTCCATAGTCTTAATTCTTAGAAATCATAGAATTAAGAATGTGATTACCAATTACTCACTATAAAAGCAATTTTAAAATATCTGCACTACATCTAAGCAATGGAGTATTATTACACAACCATACCAAAAACAAAGTAAGGGAGATCTCTTGGAGTGTATGCATATGATGTTTAAGAGTGTATTAGCTGAAAACAGCAAAGTGCAAAAAAGGGTATGTGCAATACACATTTTACATAAGAAAGAAGAAGAAACAAGAATATAGTTTTGAGTGTGTATTTATTTTGTATACAAAAAAATAGATATTCAAAAATCCCAGCAGAATGGAACAGAGGTAGAGCAGAGTGCAGCAGCCTGATGAGGCCTGCAGCTGAACAAGGCTGAGAAGACAGAGATGCAGACTGAGGTGCTACCTCAAGGCACCCAAGGCTTGAGAAGCCAAGACCCTTAAAAGGAGTAAATATAAAAGTAAGCTCTAAAATCTTCATGCTATTTCCTCTCAAGATGTTTGCCAACTCCTAAAATGTACACATATGGGGGTAGAAAGCTAAGGAGACAAGCAAAAAACAGCTATGATAGGCTAAAGAGCTGAGCACACAGATCAATACTCTCTTGCAGCCAGGAGTCAGAGGCTGGTGTTCAGGGCCCTCTAAGACAGAAGGACTCCAGGAAATAAGCAGTCCCTCAGAAGACCCTCACAAAGGGCTACAAACTAGCAGGGAGGGAAAAACCAGCAAAGTCTGAAACCCTGCTCAATTCCACCCATGATCTGCTCATATTCTGCCTGTCAAAATTAAATCCTCTCTAAAGGAAAAGAACATCATCCAAAGTCTCCCTAATGTTTCATATTCAATGTTAGGCATGCAACCAAAATTACCAAGTATACTAGGAAGATGGGACCAAATGACCCCCTCCAACATCCTTAGGACCCCACAAAAGAAAAAGAGACTACTGTAAGGGCCCAAAGATTATCCCGATATCGCAGTTAGCAAAGTAAGGATATTAACATAAATATAATAGATACTGCTTATCTAGGAAAGCTGAAGAATAAGCAAAGCATGAAGAAAGATAACAAAGTCTAGAGGAACACTGACAATCCTGAAGAAGCAGATCTTCAGGCATCTTATAAACCCACTGCAAGATATCAAAGGCCAGAGTCCTCTTTATAATTATGGAAATCCAAGTTATCAATATTTTCCTTATGGTTATGGTATTTTCTAGAAACTTCATTCTCCTTTCAACATTTAGGTCCACAATCCATAGCCCCCATAAAGAAACATAAAATTCGGGAGGTCATTGACAGGGACCCAGATAACACTACTTACTCATTTATTTTGGCAAAACCTTGAGCAAGTAGAGTCATGTATTGAAGTGTCATCCTCCTAAAAGATAAAATATTTATAACCACCAAACAACCAGTAAAGCTGCAAATGTGGAAGAACATGTGAAGCTCCTTCAGTGACTTAAAATAAAGGTTAAGGAAAGAAAATCTGAAAGGCTAGACTTGTAGAAGCTGGGGGGAATCCATAGAAAAGCTAGAAATAAATGCCAATGTGGAAGATAAATCAGAGTTCTGGAACTTGTCACCACATTCAGCCACTGTCCCCACATCCTCAATACACAGAACTGTGCAGCAAAGACATCCCAATAGCTAATAACCCTCATTTTTTAGACTATCCATCTCCAGAACTTCCTTTCCAGAAGCTCTCCATTCAGAAGAGAATTATGAATAGAAGATGGGAGGAAGGGAAAAGTACAATTAATATGGCAAAAAGAGAAATTACCAACCCAGGAACGATCTAGGATGTGCATCACCTTGCAATACCACAGAAGAGAGTCCGTACTGTGAAATATGAAGAACAGCTGGACTGAGGACTCCCAACTGAGTAGTCCAGTCTTAGCAGATAGATAATAAACTTTACTGGAGCTGTAGTTTGTCCTGTTATCAACTAAATGGCTCCCTATAACTTTTTCAAATAATTATTTTCTTTTCTCAACTTCAGATTTTATAAAAGTATGCAACATGTACCCATTAACAATGTCATTGAAGATAATGTAAAATTTAAGTAATCCAGAGCCTAATAGCTTGCCTTTGTCTTTGAAACATGCTTCCTACTGTACACGGACATGTACTTTTCCTTGTATGCCAATTATTCATTTATGAGACATGTCAGCTTCAAATGTTCTAGATACAACTGATAATTGAACAGTGTGGCACTGGTGATAAAATTAACAAATAGGTGAATAGAACAGAACAGTCCAGAAGAAGACCCATACACATACACAGTCTTCTGGATTTGTGACAAAGGTGATGTAGTTATAGTTCAATAGACAGTCCTTGTGATAAATGGGTCTGGGTCAATTGAAAATATATATGGGAAAAAATAGCCTTGACTCCTACAAAAATCAGTTATATATGGATAGTGGACCAAAATGTGAAAGGTAAAGCAGTATCCAGAAGGTAGTAAAAAATAATAACTTCACAACCATAAGAAAAGAGTGATAAATGGAACTTAAAGAACTTTAAAAGACACTATTAAGAGAGAAAAAAAGGCAAACCATGGAGAGATTTTAACAATACATGAAAAGAACTATAGATCAATAAGAAAAAAAAAAGAAAATCCAATTTTAAAAATAGGCAAAAGACATGGAAAAGGCACTTTATGGATTACTTATAAGCATTTGCAAAAGTGCTTAAAATCAAATTATTAGTCATAAAGAAAATGCACTGTACTAACTGTACTCAATGGAATGGCTAAACAAAGATTACAAAAAGAAACCCTGACAGTAACAAGTCATCAAAATAATGAAAATATGGAGCAATTTAACTTTCATTCACTACTGCTACCAGAATGAGCACTGATAATAATCATTTTGGAAAATGCTGGCAGTATCTACAACAAACTGTAGCCATGTTACAGCAATTCCACTACTGGGTGCAAATACCTCCCCAAAATTAATACCTAAGTGCCACGCTTAAGAATGCTTACAGCAGCCTTAGTTTATATATAGTAGCTCCAAACTAGCACTATCCCTAATGTTTATCATCAGTAGCATGTGGTATATATACACAATAGAATATTATACAGCCATGTAAAAGAACAAACTACAGGTAAGGGCATAAGTTTTCAATAAAAAGAAGCTAAACAGACAAGCACATGAATTCATTTACATGTAGTTCAAAAAAAGGCAAGACTGTTCTTAGCCATGATACCAAAAGCATAAACAAAAAAGGAAAAATAAACTGGACTCCAGGGGCGCTTGGGTGGTACAGTCTGTTAAGCCTCTGACTCTTGGTTTCAGCTCAGGTTGTGATCTCAGGGTCCTGAGACTGGGTTCCATGCTCACTGCAAAGTCTGTTTGAGAGTCTCTCTTCCTCTCCCTCTCCCCTTCTAAAAGTAAATAAATATTTTTTAAAAAACTGGAATTCATCTAAATTTAAACCAATAGACTTCAAAGAACACCATCATCAAAGTGAATGTAACCCACAGAATAGGAGAAAATATTTGCAAATCATATGTCTGGTATGTCATAAGACATCTGTTACTGAAATATAGAAAAAAACTTTAACATCTCAACAACAAAAAGACAGAGTTGAAAAATGAGAGGAAAACTGAAAATACATTTTTTCCAAAGATATATAAATGGCCAACAACATATGGAAAGATGCTCAACATCATTAGCCACTCAGAAAATGCACATCAAAACCACAGTAGCACTTCACATCCACTAGGATGACCATAATCCAAAAGACTAACATTAGCCAGTGTTGGTAATGATATATAGATCATACAAATCATACATTGATAGTGGGATTGTAAAATGGTATAGTTATTTTAGACACCAGTTTGGCAGTTTGTTAAAAACTTAAACATAAACCTAACATATGAGCCAGTTATCTCCTCAAAAAGTTTATACTCAAAAGAAATAAAAACATACAAATACACAATAACCAGTACACAAACGTTCATAGCAACATATTCCCAATAGCCAAATGGTGGAAACAACCAAAATGCTCACTAACTAATGAAAAGTAAAATATAGTCTATCCATAGAATGGAATATTATTCAGCCAAAGAAAAGAATGAGTACCTGATACAAGCTACAACATAAGTGAACCTCAACAACATTATGTTCCATGAAAGACAGCTACCAAAGACCACATTCTGCATGATTCCACTCACACGAAAATGACCAGAACATTTAAGTCTACAGAGCTAAAAAGCAGATTAGTAGTCACCTAGGACTGGGGGAGGGAGGACTCAGAAAAAAATCTAAGTGACTTCTAATGGGTATGGGATTTCTTTTTGAGATGATATAATTGTTCAATGGCACAACTCTGAATATACTAAGCATTAAACTGTACACTTTTAATCATTAACTGTGTGGTACTGTGACTCACATCTCAACAAAGCTATTAAAAATAAATAAGACTAAACTCTATGATGATATACAGCGGAACAGTTTAAGTCACACTTGGGGTAAAAAAAAATGACTGGGAAAGGACACAAGGGAGGTTCCCTGAATGTTCTGTATCTTGTTCTTCTGGGTAGTCACAGGAATAAATTCACTTGGTAAAGGTTCATTAAGCTTTGTACCTAAGAGGTAGGTCCATTACTATATGTATGTTATACTTTATAATTAATTTTCTAAAAAACTTCCCAAAAATTCTTCAAAAAATTTGAGATTTACTTCCATTCTAGAAATTAGGAAACTAAAGAAACTGAGAGATTAAAATGATTTGCTGAATGTCATATTTTAATAATGATAGATTAAAGCTTAATTCCTGTTTAATCCTATTCATAAACAATGTAAACATAAAATGCACAAGCCCCCCAAACTCCCAACAAGACCTTTTATCACACTACCATGCTTACTTCCTCCCAAACATGCAAAACAAATGATCTTTATTATCTATTAATTTTATTACTGTCTTTCCTCAATAAAATGTAAGCTATATGAGATCAGGGAACTTATCTGTTCAGTATCATATCCCCAATATCTACAACAGTGCCTAGTAACACTAGGTGCTTAATATGTATGCAAAATGAATGACATTACTATATTTCAACTCCTTGTGGTTTCTTGTTTGATATTTACTTGAACAGTTAAGTGAATGCAAGACTGGCTCTGTTGTATCTCAAATATATCTTCAGAGATGGTTTAAAATGATAAAAAATAAATAACTGAATTATGGAAATATAAATGGTAGAATGGTTCTATTTAATGATTTAAAATTCATTTCAAATAGTAATGACTTTAAAAATTAAAAATAAAATAACAATAATGAAGTATAGAAAAGTTTCTTCTCAAAAACTTACAGGCTTATCTACTAAATATTATGACTTAGATATGACCAGAGTTACTGCATTTGAGTAAGGATTTAGCATAAATTACAAGACAAACATGAAGATTTTAGGACAGCCTGGGAAAGCTTTATTTTAGGGGGAAAATAACCCCAAGAAACAAATTAGATATCCTTTGCCATAAGATGACTGATTTGAAATTGTCTTGATAGGGATACTCTACATTCTTTCTTATGTTCTATCTTCCTTATATTCTTTAGTGCTTCTTGACTTGAGCAGTTTTCTGAGTGTAAATCATTAATATTTTTATTATACATCCTAAATAAACAAGATCAAAAGGTTTAGTAAGTACCTATTCTCTTAGAAAAATATATGTGCAAATTTAAAAGTTCTATTGTTCAATTTTTTCTTTAAAATCACACCAGTATCATAAATTTCTTTTTTTTTTATTTTTTTAATTTTATTTATTTATTCATGATAGTCACAGAGAGAGAGACAGAGAAGCAGAGACACAGACAGAGGGAGAAGCAGGCTCCACGCAGAGAGCCCGACGTGGGATTCGATCCCGGGTCTCCAGGATCACGCCCAGGGCCAAAGGCAGGCGCCAAACCGCTGCGCCACCCAGGGATCCCTTTTTTTTTTTTTTTTCATAAATTTCTTTAAACATATTTTTAAAAAACACACATTGTATTTTTACAGCATTCTTCCTCTAAAAGTATTGCTCACAGTATTCACATGGCACTTAGTGGACATTAACTCACTTTATATTTTTATGAATACATCTTATTTCTGTCAACCACACAGATTTCATTCCCATGCATGCTACTTATTTGTATTCCTAAAATATTGCACAAAGTAGTCACTTCATAAAGGTCTACTTTAACTGATGAAAAGGCACCTAGAGTAGTAGAAAGAGTATGAAGTTGGAATTCAGAAGAATAAGTTCTGCCCTTATCTTATGGTCTGTAAGCAAGTCTGTTTAATACCTCTGAACTAAATAGTTTTGTAGATCTTTTCTAGCTCTGAGAAGTGAAGCTTCTAACAAGCAGATTAAAGCATAGGTTTTTTTCTATTTCTGCTCTTAGAAATATGATTTCCAATTCTCTTGGATTTAGAATAATCAATTAATTTGTGGATTAAGAGCAATCTCTGTGACTTCCTCCTCTAGTTACACATTTGCAAATTATTCTCCCCATTGCTCAATAGGATCTCCCCACCATGGTAGCCTGATATAAGGAATGAAAATAATCTTAAATAAGGTTATTTAATAAACTTTAAGTTTATTATTCTACCTAGAATAAAAAAACTAATGGTTGGTTCTACCAGTTGTCAGGAAAGCAGATGTTAATTCTAGTTTTATAAATAGTATATATTTCATATTACATCCCCCACCAAATTCTACTGCTTATGAATGGGGAAAAAATCTTACTTTGCTCAATATCTTTTTTGTTTCTTCTGTTCTTCCAACTAATTGTTGTTTGAAAGTAGCATATTCTAGAGTTATTTAATATAAACTACTCTCTAAATCCAATGTATCCTTTCTATACACTGTAGCATTTTGGTTACATTCTGCACAGGAAGTGGGTTTTTCCCAAGGTATTACCAAAACCAAGCTCACATCTATGTGTTGTGTATTTTTTTAATATCCTGAAATAAAATTTAGATTGAGTTCCAAAAGTTATAGTCAGACTAGCTTAAAATGCCTTAAGGTGCTCAGATGCCTTAAAGTACTTAAATATCCATAAAGCATCAAATAGAATGGCTTTTGTTTAAATGCTAGCAAGTACTGAAAATAAATATGTGTTTATGGAACCCTGAACCGTAAGTCATTTCTGACATATAATAAGGGTGTACGAGAAAACACCTACATTTTTAAGTGAAAGAGAAACCAGCACATGAGCACTGTATGTGCCTCAGTTAAACATGTTTATGATGTGATCCCATTATGTATTAAAATGATAATTAAGTGTAATTATTCTACAAGACAGATGAGGTTTATGAGCAATAAGGAAATACTGGACAAGACAGCGGTGAATCCAGTGTCAAAAAAGGAAGCCACTACCTTTCTGGGCTTTCACCGTCTGTTCTTCAATTTGCCGCAGCCGCTCCATCAGCTCCTCCTTTTCCCGTTCTATCCTTTCTTTCTCCTTTTCTGCTATCTCCCTTTTCTTCTTTTCATTCTCTAGTTGTGCCCTGAAGAGGAATTAGAGTTACTATTATAAACAAATATGCAGAAATATTTACATGAAACCTAAGAACTGTGAGTACACCAAGAAGAAACTATGCATAAATATTTTAAGAGTCTTCATTATATTCAGCTGGGCTTAAAAAAACAGCAACAACAACAACAAAAAAAAAAACAAAAACAAAAAAAAACCCATGGAGTTAAAAACATCAGACTGCCCTGTTACATGCACACATACTGGAATATAATGCATTTCTTTCTGTGGGGTCACAGAAAATGTAGTCTAGGATATTAAAAGGGGTAGCTGGGTGGCTCAGTTTGTTAAGCATCTGCCTTTGGCTTAGGTCATGATCCTAAGTTGGCTTCTCTTTCTCCACCTTTCCCCCCATTCGTATTCATGCTCTCTCACATAAATAAAATCTTTAAAAAAAGGTATTAAAAATTTAGCCATTTTGGAAAGATTTTCAAGGGACAAATTTACAAAACAGCTAGGAAAGTAATATTGTAAAATACATCCCTGTGTGCAAAGCATGTTTTTGATGCAGACTTGAATGTGAGGAAAAATTAGGAGATTTATCACTGCAATTGCATACTCAATGAATTCTGACACGTTATAGGCCACCACAAAAACAGTTAACTGAACAGTTCCCCTTGAGAGAAATTAAGAAAAGCTTGATAGAGAGCACACAGGTTATTTTACTTCTAATAGTTTAAGTAAAATAACCTGGGAGGGCAACAATTTTCAATCATTAACATGAATTAACACACTTTTCATTCCTAAAGTAGCACCAACTTATGCTTAGATAGAAACGGTAAATCAGTTTTATCTCCTTCGACAACTCCATTAGAATGACAGTAGGTGTCCAATGCTTAAGACGGATCATCCTGAGAGTGAAAGACCACCTCCTTCACTCTGCTGCATCTGCCAGGGGCCTAATGAGACTATTTCTCTTAAATACATCCCACTCACTCATCACACAACTACTGAGAGACTACCATGGATCAGACTTCATGTGAAGGTCAGAAATATAAAGATGAATAAGAATTAGATGAAATACTACTAGATAATACTATTTCATAAATTTAATCAATATTCCTATTATTTTAATGGGAATAATTTCTTTTTTAGTGTAAAAAAATCAATTATTTCATCTCTGATATATATCTGACTACATCTAAATATTCTCAAAAAGGACATCACTGCCATTTGGTGTCAATTCTGAATTTCAGGTACAAAACCCTGTAATTTCTCAACTTCCAGTCTCTGATAAACTCATTAGCAAAGTTTTACTAATGAAGTTTTTTTCCCTAACTCTATACACCTAAATTTCAAACTTCCCACAGTTCCTAGATATTTATCTGTCTCCACCAAAGAAAGAGAATCCAACTTTGGGGCAACAGCTAAAACAGACAGCTAATGGTGACCTCCTAGTACACCAAGCCAAAACCTGAAGTGTAAGGGTTTCTCCTCTAAGTCTGAAGCCCACTTCTAACTTTCAAGTCTTAGTAAAGTCCCCCTTTCCCCATGAAGCCTCTTGTGATTAAGCTAAGAGAAATTTAAGTTTTTATTTAGAGTCTTGGTTTGGAAACACTCATTTGACCAAGATATTCTAGTTTAAGAGCATAAAAAGCATATTGATAAACTATCAATTCTCTGGACTAACATGCAGAAAATAAAATATTTAGAATACCTTACTTTTTAAAGACTATCAGATGAACTCAATTACATTTTTTTTCTTTTTTTTTTTTAAAGATTTTATTTATTTATTTGAGAGAGAGCAAGGGAGCACAAGCAGGGGGAGCAGCAGAGGCAGAGGAAGAAGCAAACATGGAGCAGGGAGCCTGATGCAGGGTTCGATCCCAGACCCGAGCCAAAGGCAGACACTTCACCAACTGAGCCATCCAGGTACCCTTCGATTACATTTTTAAGTGAAAATTAAGAGCTAATTTATATTCAGCTTCTACTCAGACTATACATTAATAATAATCAAAATTGTTATACTAGGTACTATTTATTAAGCACGAGGTACTTTGCCAAATGTCTGTATACCACTGTCAGTATTTCTCACAGAAATCTTTGCAACCTTGAAGCTGGGTCCTACTGACACAGGCAGCCAGTTATGACTGGCTACATATCAGTATGTGGGTATCTGAGTCTAAATTGTCTCCATTTAAAAAAAATGTTTTAAGATTTTATTTATTTTTCATGAAAGACACAGAGAGAGAGAGGCATAAACAGGCAGAGAAAGAAGCAGGCTCCGTGCAGGGAGCCCGATGTGGGACTCGATTCAAGGATCACGCCCTGGGCCAAAGGCAGACGCTCAACCGCTCAGCCACCCAGGCATCCCAGTTGTCTCCATTTTTAAATGTGGTAACAATTTTAGCTATTATAAAACATGTTCAGGAATTATAGAATGAGTTAGCATTTAACTTGGATGTAAATAACTGAGAGCATAGACTGCAGAGGCCAACAACCCCTGGTATATAATGTCAATTTCAATGCCAAAACCCCAAAGTTATGGGAGTTAAGGGTCAGAGAGTATGGCCACACATCCCAAGGTACTGTAGGGAAAGAGGTCCCTCGCTGACCAGCTACTATTCTTGCCTGAGAGCTTCCAGCAGTACAGCTCTGAGCATTCCCCAAGTATTTTTGCTGGCTGTTCTGCCAATGGGCTTGACCAAAACTGTTTCCACATATACAGTTGTCATTTTTCTCTTTCTGAACTGTAAAACAGGGAATAAATGAAAACTTGGCATGCCATTTCTGAAAGACCTGCCATACCCCCATGTGGCTAGACTAATATAAAATATCCTTAGATGTTCAAATGAATTAAATAGCTACTAAATTCCTACAGTGTACAAGACAGTCAATAAATGTCTGCTAATGAAAGATTGTAAAATTTATTCAAGACAGAAAACATGGGATTGTTATTGTGGGAGAAAAGAGACTTAAAGTCTTTCACTTTCATCTAAGCTTTAGGGTAACTCAAATACAGCACCATCACCAAATGGTACTTATTAATCATAATACATATACTAGAAGCCATACAGCACTCTCCTCTACATGTGAGAAATAAAGGACAAATCGGGGTGCCTGGGTGGCTCAGTTATTTAAGTGTCTGCCTTCAATTCAGGTCATGATCCTCTGATCCTGGGATGGAGCACTGCATGGGGCTCCCTGGTCAGCAGGGAGTCTGCTTCTCCCTCTGATTGTGCTGTCTCTCAAATAAATAAATAGAATCTTAAAAAAAAAAAAGACAAATGGAAAAATATATTTAATAATGTAAATAATATAGCAACACTACACATAAGCAGAACAGCTGGACATTTTATGGAGTGATGAGTATGGAATGATTTTTTTAACTTGTAACAGGAGATCTTAGAGATGGGCCGTGAGAAAAGGGAAGGGAGAAAGAGAGAATGAGGATAAGTGTGAATGTGCATAGAAGAAAGAAGGAAAAAAGGAAAAAAAAACTTGTCTTTGAGAGAGACAGAAAGGCTACGATGCGTATGAATATATAGAAAGTAAAGCACAATAAAGAACTACTTTAATGAGCATGGAAGACTAGAATCACAACATGATCCTAAGCCACATGAGAGCAGTAAAAAATGAGTGATCCCAGTCAATTCAATATAGTATCTTTAAAGATGGGGTAGAAATTACTAGAAAGTTTCATGCCTATATAAAAAATGTCTAGGGATGCAGTAAACTAAGGCACAGCCTCTAAGGCAGACAACCTGAGGAGAGCTATCTCAATTACACAGAATATTTAAGAAAAAAACAACTATGACAAAAACCCACATCACTAAACACAAACATTATGTGTTTAGTAGCAAAATTTTATCCAGCAGAGCATCCACCTAATTCTTGGATTTATATCATGTTATTTCCTGTACATTTGAAATAGAAGTTTAAATATGTTTATGGCCCTTGTTTTTTTTAATAAATTAATTTTTATTGGTGTTCAGTTTACCAACATACAGAATAACACCCAGTGCTCATCCCGTCAAGTGTCCCCCTCAGTGCCCGTCACCCATTCACCCCCACCCCCCACCCTCCTCCCCCTCCACCACCCCTAGTTCATTTCCCAGAGTTAGAAGTCTTTATGCTCTGTCTCCCTTTCTGATATTTCCCACACATTTCTTCTCCCTTCCCTTATATTCCCTTTCACTACTATTCATATTCCCCAAATGAATGAGAACATACACTGTTTGTCCTTCTCCGATTGACTTACTTCACTCAGCATAATACCCTCCAGTTCCATCCACGTCGAAGCAAATGGTGGGTATTTGTCGTTTCTAATGGCTGAGTAATATTCCATTGTATACATAGACCACAGCTTCTTTATCCATTCATCTTTCGATGGACACCGAGGCTCCTTCCACAGTTTGGCTATTGTGCATGGCTGCTAGAAACATCGGGGTGCAGGTGTCCTGGCGTTTCATTGCATCTGAATCTTTGGGGTAAATCCCCAACAGTGCAATTGCTGGGTGGTAGGGCAGGTCTATTTTTAATTCTTTGAGGAACCTCCACACAGTTTTCCAGAGTGGCTGCACCAGTTCACATTCCCACCAACAGTGTAAGAGGGTTCCCTTTTCTCCGCATCCTCTCCAACATTTGTGGTTTCCTGCCTTGTTAATTTTCCCCATTCTCACTGGTGTGAGGTGGTATCTCATTGTAGTTTTGATTTGCATTTCCCTGATGGCAAGTGATGCAGAGCATTTTCTCATGTGCATGTTGGCCATGTCTATGTCTTCCTCTGTGAGATTTCTCTTCATGTCTTTTGCCCATTTCATGATTGGATTGTTTGTTTCTTTGCTGTTGAGTTTAATAAGTTCTTTATAGATTTTGGAAACTAGCCCTTTATCTGATATGTTATTTGCAAATATCTTCTCCCATTCTGTAGGTTGTCTTTGAGTTTTGTTGACTATATCCTTTGCTATGCAAAAGCTTCTTATCTTGATGAAGTCCCAATAGTTCATTTTTGCTTTTGTTTCCTTTGCTTTCGTGGATGTATCTTGCAAGAAGTTACTGTGGCCAAGTTCAAAAAGGGTGTTGCCTGTGTTCTTCTCTAGGATTTTGATGGAATCTTGTCTCACATTTAGATCTTTCATCCATTTTGAGTTTATCTTTGTGTATGGTGCAACAGAGTGGTCTAGTTTCATTCTTCTGCATGTAGATGTCCAATTTTCCCAGCACCATTTATTGAAGAGACTTTCTTCCAGTGGATCGTCTTTCCTCCTTTATCGAATATTAGTTGACCATAAAGTTCAGGGTCCACTTCTGGGTTCTCTATTCTGTTCCATTGATCTATATGTCTGTTTTTGTGCCAGTACCACACTGTCTTGATGACCACAGCTTTGCAGTACAACCTGAAATCTGGCATTGTGATGCCCCCAGATATGGTTTTCTTTTTTAGAATTCCCCTTGGCCCTTCTGTTTTATTTAGGATCTACTCTATTTCTCAGAGGACTGTGTTATTCTACACTACAAAGATTTCCTCAATAAAAGTTAACTGTAGGTTGGTCTCTAAATTTTTTCAAATAAAATAAAAAGTCCAAATCAATCTAGAATCAAATTTGGGAATTATGCTGCTGGACCCAGTAATCTGGTTCCAGGGTCAATAATAGGCTTTCATTCAGCGTCTTTCCATTTTCAAAACTCTAATATATATTCAATAGTATCTTTTTTCAAAAGTCTAAGTGAACCTGGTTAAAGAGAAAAATCAGTGTTATTGGCAGGGGTACTGGTGTTGCTCTGTACAGTGACTTTTCACTTGAGTTCTGCAGTGTCATTAACATTGTTTTAAAAGCAAAATATCCAGCTGGTGCCTGGGTGGCTCAGCTGGTTGAGTGTCCAACTCTTGATTTCAGCTCCGGTCATTTCAGGGTCATGAGATTAAGCCCCACATCAGCCTCCACACTCAGCACAGAGTTGGAATGTCCCTCCCTCCCCCATTTATGCATGTGTTCTCTCTCTTAAATAAATAAATACATAAAATCTTTTTTAAAAAATAAAGCAAAATTTTTACTCAGCAATTCTTACCCACAAGCAAAACAAACTTGGAAAATTCCAAATGTATACGGTACACAAACCAATGTCAGTGAAAAGCAAGCATGTTAAAAAAAAAAAATCTATGAATTCATGAAAGTTACTTTCTCAGAAATAACTGTCAAAGATTTCTAATTTGAAAAGTATATATACTCATTTTAAAAGAGAATAAGGCTAGTACTCAATTTTAGTACAATGAAAACAATGTAAAAACGTAAACTCAGAGTATGTCAAAGAAACAGGCATTCTTAAATTTTAGACCACGTACTTGATTAAGAACCAAAGCCTTAAATTTCTTTTTTTTTAATTAATTTATTTATTTATGATAGTCACAGAGAGAGAGAGAGAGAGAGAGAGGCAGAGACACAGGCAGAGGGAGAAGCAGGCTCCATGCACCGGGAGCCCGACATGGGATTCGATCCCAGGTCTCCAGGATCGCGCCGTGGGCCAAAGGCAGGCGCCAAACCGCTGCGCCACCCAGGGATCCCAAGAATCAAAGCCTTAAATTTCTTACCTTTCCAACTGCTTCTGATGTTTCTCCTCCCTCGCCTGAGCCTTCATCTGCTGCACTTCAATAGTATCAGGCTTCCTTCTTCGCATGTAGAGTTCATGGTTTCCCATACATAAAGCCAAAATCCGCTTATTGATTCTCAAACGAGGTGCATAAAAAACAAAATCCTAAACATAAAGTTTCTGAATTTAAAATCTTCCTGAAGGATAGTACCTCACAATAATCTGTACTAAATTTTAGTATGTGGTATGAATTCTAATGTCATATTACACACAGTTTAAAAATCATAAGTTTCCCAACTCCTAGCAAATATGCCATATTTGCACATAATTGTGAAGTTTATCAACAAGTGTTTTTAACTGCTTCCTAGGAATAGTGATTATTTTCAATTACCTCCTTATAATAAACATCACATACCTTATAGTTGAATCTCAGTTAAAATATTTACATGTTATAAAAAAGATAAAAACCTTGTATTTTTATTAACACACATCATTTTATCAGCAGTAAAGTAAAACTATGGAAAGGGAATGTTTCTCAGGAGCAAATCAATAAATGAAAAATGCTACTCTTCAAATGGTATCACAGCAAAGTGGCAGAAATTTAAAAAGAGTTAACACAGAAAACAAAAGAATTTTACTTACAGGTGCCTTTTTGTCGATTGGCTTTATAACAAATTTTTTGTCATTAAATGAAATATTTCTGATTTCACTCCAGGGAAAACCAATTTTAGGTGTTAACCTTAAAAAATGAGAGCATTCCTTTAATTAAAAGCAGGAAACAAAAGACAAAATTTGTAACATTTTGGGGCCAAATTAGCCGAATGACTCTCCTTAAGAGCATAAGACTTTCAAATGCATTAACTTATATACTATTGACATTATCTCTTAAGGGGAAATTTGATCAATTAAGTCACTCAAGACAGAATTACTATCAAAAAATTTCATAAATGAGTCATGAGCCTTGAAAGTAAAAATAGCCTAGAAAACACTAGGCAACCTAGCGTATAGAACTGAGCTTCTTAGGGTTTTGTACTAGCTCTATTTAGATTCAAGCTATTACAACTATTAGTTTAAATATGTTTAAGAAGGAAGGGGGGGGAATAAAAAATAAATAAAAAATAAAAATAAAAAAGAAGAGGGGGAAAAGGAAGTCTCGATAACTTTTTGTATGAATTATGAACACATTACTAAATATAAAAAAATTATTTCCTTCCTCTATTTAAATGAGTATTTGTGAATAACATTAAAAACACTGAATCTCAGTATCTTTAAAAGGATTAATTTTATGGTATGTGAATTATATCTCATTAGAAAAAATTTTAGACATTCACATATACAAAAGTTTGGATAAATGGTAGAGCTGGATTTCCAACTTTAAGAAATACAAGTTACCCCCATCTTGCCACACTGCACATAAAGATTTAAGGAATCAAATTGGAATTTTGTTTCTGCTTTTCAATGTATTTTACTATTTCAGACTACCCATCAAATGTGTCAGTGTTATCCAATAACAAGTGTGCAAAAAGATTCTGATACCCTTGCGGGCCAAAAGGTATCTTGTTAGTCTTCTAAGAACAGAGTATGAATTTCTACCTATTTATAGTCCTTTTAATTCTTACGCAGATTATGAACTGCAGCACAGCAAATAATTTTTCTACATAAAACTTTGTTTCTCACTATCCATGTGTTCTACTGTCCTCTACTGGCTGAGGGAACATAGTATTTAAGGTAACGCTGTACCACATTTACATGTTACTTTGAAAAATCCTAAAGCAATTTCCTCATATAATTCTCTCAACAATCTTTTGAAGTAAGCTTGGCAGTTATATGAATTTCAAAGAGTTAACAACTTGATCATGGTCACAAAGGCAATTAGTAGCAGAGCTGGTAAAAGAACCTAACCAAGCTTTTAAAGTTATACCCCATTTTAATTTTTTTAAAAATCTTTTGGAAATATAATAGGTTTTAATTATTTTTTAAAAATGAATCAGTACAGTAAGACCAAAATCCCCTTTGTCCATAATCTCCAACCTCAGTGACTCCCATTCTGAGCTAATCCCCTCTCTTTCATATTCCCTATCTTTATCTGTAATCCTATCTATAATGGGTAGTCCAGGAGAAATTAATTCAATAATTTTTAAAAGAAAGAAAAGGAAAATGATTTGGTCCACAAAAATTAGTCTCTAAGTTTTTGCTTTTCAAAAATTTCAAAAGATCGTCTTCTGAATGACCTAGCATTTTAACTTGCTTTGTAATATAAATAAAAAATATCTATCAGAGCAAAATTAGTAGAATGCTCTTTCGGACTTAGTATATATGGTTAGAAATGTGTATTTTATTAGGTATTTGTAATAATGAAACTGAATTCTATAACCAACCAGAATAAAGAGAAATGCATTAAAAAAGGCATTACTGACATGGACCTAAATGCTTATGTGGTATAGCAAAGGAAGAAAGTATTAATAAGCAACTGTAGCTATCATTCCTAAAAGTATTTTAAGAGTCTGACATACTCTGTATTAATACAAAAATTAATACCTGGTCAATTTCATTATTTTTTTATTTTATTTTATTTATTTATGATAGGCACACAGTGAGAGAGAGAGGCAGAGACACAGGCAGAGGGAGAAGCAGGCTCCATGCACTGGGAGCCCGACGTGGGATTCGATCCCGGGTCTTACCTGGTCAATTTCAAAACAAAATTACACTGTTCACTATGCTTAATACAGTGATATTCTACTTTACTGATGTCTGAAAATATTTAAAACAATTCCTATAAGTATCTTAAAAAAGATATTATAAAAATATAATAAATCATGTATCAATTTGTTTCACTGCTCTTGACTTATGTCTATTAATTTCAATTAATATATTAATTTCAAGTTATATGCCATGCATAACATTTAAGGAATTATTCTTCACCTATAAAGGGAACAAATTTTAATTAATTTACTAGACAGAACTCACAAGAGATCATATAAAAGTGAATCATCATCCCATCTGAAAAATACACTGAGAAGTAGAATGCTGAAATGTTGCAAAAAACGGAGACATAAGATCTGTACGGCATTAAGTAATCTTTTAAGTGGGAGGAAAAGAAAAAAAGTAACCAAGCCAAAAAAAGAACTTTTACAAACACAACCTAAGATTAAAGCCATATTAATCACTGATTAATGACCAGTTCACTGTAGCTAATTTACTTACTTGTCATCATGCTCATAAATATTCAGACCCAAAGCATCAACGCCTAGCCACAATTCAGTTCCCTTTTTATTTTTTATTTCAAAATAGTTGACTCCATACATTTCTAGATCTTGGGCAATCTTCAGGTATTCCATCATAGAATCTTCCCTGTTGAAATAAAGCTTACTGTAAAACATACTGAAGTAAAAGTAATGCCAAACAAATTACAAAAATACTTTGGATTAAAATTTAGCTTTATATTGACTCATGTAAGTCAAATGATCTTTGGGGATAATCTGATGTATTAATACATATTATGAAATAAAAATACTTTAAGTTGAGGAAAAACACAGCCACCCAAATACCTCAGCATTCCTCTGTGCTCTTCATGCCAGTTCTGTATTCTTTCTTCCCACTGTTCTTTTGTCAGTTTGTGTTGTTCCAAAACACTATGAGGGGAAAAAAAAAAAAAAGTCTATGAAAATGTTTCCATGATTCAAAATTAATATTCATTTAAAAGTCTAGAATCATTCAGTATCTTAACTGCAGCAGCTGTCATAAAAATTTATATACATGATAAAATTGCAAAGAACTAATAAATATATACACATACACAAATGACTGCATGTAAAAATCGATGAAATCTGAATCAGGTTGATGTATTTTTATCAATATCCTGATTGTGATATAGTATTTGTTATGCAAGCTGGGAGAAGGATATTCAGAATCCCTTTATTTCTTACAATTACATATGAATCTATAATTATCTCAAAATAATAATTTCAGGACCCTGAAATTATTTTAAATAATACATGTTTTTAAGACAGTTATAAAGATAGTCTATAGGAATTCAACTGTTTCAAATGAATAAACTACTGGGCCAAAAAAAGGAAAATGACTTTCTCATTATAAATAGAAAAATTAGAGAAGAGAGTAAAAATCAGAATTCTTGGGCCTTAATTTCTTCTTTTACTCTATGTATTTTCTTTTCTTGGTGGTAAATTTAATTTTCTTAGTTTCTACAAGTAATACCTTACATAAAATTATACAAGTGGAAAAGTTTTACTTTTTACCACCCTATGTCCTCCAAATAATTTTTTATAGTTTTTTTACTCTTCCAATGTTCCTTATGCAAATGTAAGCAAACATACTTTCTCTACTACTGATATTTTAACACCAAATCAGCAAATTCAACATGCATATGATTTACCTGCTCTACACACTATAGATGATTTCAATTCTCCTTAAAACATATAGTGATAATTATATATTTTTCTTTACTGGTGAATCCTCAGATCCTACTTTATTAATAACAAAAGCTGTGGCATTAAAATATTATTGTTTAGCTGAATAAAAATTTTACATGAAACCCATGAAACCCGGGAGTTTCTGGCAGTATAAAGGAATCTCAGAATATAATCTTCCCTTGCACAAGTTACTCACCATGTGGAATGGATCCCTTAATGGGGTCTTAGACACACCATTAGATTCTTACTATGCACTGCTCCTTTTTCAATGTACCCTCTTTTAAGCTCTTGGCTTTTTGGGGAGTTTTGTCTTCCCCCTTAGGGCACTTAAGTTTCCACATTTTTCTTGTCTTTATACCTTCTCCTGATGCCTGGCCTCGATTGCTTACGGAAAGGAATGCAATCAGCCTTGAGACCATAATCAGTACAGACAACTGCTGGTATCATGATATTAACTAAATCTGAAGGTATGGTTTAATTAAATTGGATGCCACTAAGATAGATGTTATAGCTTTTTATATCCTGCATTTCAAATCTCGTTCATTTGTATTTTATATAATTGCCTGTACTATAAATCTGCATGACTTGTTTGCTGGTATTCAAAAATTCCCACTTTCTTTCTTCTGTCCACATAAAGGAGTCCTTCATGCCTAAGGCTAATCTATCCAACTTGGCTTTAAACCTGTCTACTATCTGGGCCTTAAAAGGACTTCTCCCTTTCTCAGGATCGATCTATCTATCCACCATCATTTATGACAGGGCGCATATCTGTTGTCCCCCGCATACATGTTTATATCATCATATATATTTCTTTGTGTTACAGAGGGGAAAGGACCACATCCATGTTGCTCACCACTAAATGCCCAGTGCCAATACTGAAGAGGTACTCAAAAATTTGCAGAGAGAATAAAGGAATTAAAATAAATCAGTTCTTTACCATCTTTTAAAGAACAGGTCTATGAACTCCTCCTTCCCTAGCTTTTTCTTCTTTTTCACAACCAAACTTCTTCCAAGAGCTATCCATATTCACTATCTTTCATTTCTAAACCTCACATCCACTGCCCCTAATCCACCACAGTCTGGCTGCAATCACCAATACCATAATGAAGCAGCTTTTACTAAGGTCACTACCAATCTCCTTACTGTTAAACCCAAGAGACACATTAATTCTCTCTCATACTCAACCTCTTTGTTACTATTTGATGCTGCTGATCAGTCTCTCCTTAAAGCTTCCTTGTACCTTGGCTTCCATGACTAACAGTCCTCTGGTAGGATTCTTGACTCTCTGGCCACTTTTCCTCAATTTGCTTTATGGAATCCTCTTTCCCTGTACCTAAAAATTAAGTTCCAACAAGATCTGTCTGAGGCCTTTTGCTCATTCTGTATGTACTTTCAGGTCCATCTCCTTTATACCCATAAGATAATTATCTATTTGCTGATTATTCCCAAAACTATCTATCGTTCAGGCTGCTCTCCAAGAGCTAGACCCACACCTACAAATGAGTATTAGTTATCTCCCTCGGTTATACAGCAGATGTTTCAAACACAACAGATTCAAAACAGAAATCTTCCTCCTCTAAAACATATTCCTTTTCCCCATACCTTGGCAAAAAGCTAACACCAACTACCCAGATGCCCACGTCAGAAACCTAACCATAAAAACTTATTTCTATCTAGGCTCTTTTCAAAGGAGAAAGTGATACTCCCTGGTAGAGCTGGTTAACTACATCACCAGAGAGCTTAAAAGTACTGTGGGAGAAGAAACTGCTTATCTGGGCTTTTCTATACAAGAATTAAAAACACCCATCAAAATCATCAAATTATATGTGATTTATGATCACAATATAACCTGATTACTAATTTTCCCCTCATACTTACACAGTGAGAAAAAGTTTGTATCTCATACACAGAATAAGTAAGTCACTGTGAAGGTATTTCCTCCATTCTAAATATTAATATTCTGATTTTATGATATGCTTATGAGTAAGCTTAGATAGCTTGAAATAGCCCTCCAAAGGCTACCAACTTGAAGAACACCTGACTGGACCTTCAAAATTAAAGACCAAACCTTGGGACGTCTGGGTGGCTCAGCAGTTGAGCGTCTACCTTTGGCTCAGGGCATGGTTCCGGTCTGGGGATCTGGTTCGACATCGGGCTCCCTGTGGGGAGCCTGCTTCTCCCTCTATGTCTCTACTTCTCTCTGTGTCTCTCAGGAATAAATAAATAAAATCTTTAAAAAATAATAAAAATAAAATAAAGACCAAATCCTGAAGAGCATGTGCTATCTTCCTCCTTTTTAAACAAAGTGGGTTATAGCATTCATACATTTAAAAAAATTAAATTGTGCTTAAGTGTGATACCAGTATTTAAAATATTTTTTAAAAATCATGACTATTAAAGCTAAGCCAATTACTTCATCTGGTGCTCAACCACACAGCAATCTAATCTAACATTAAAAGAACCACCATCTATGATATACCTGAGATTAAAACATGCCTATTCTTTTATGAATCATTAGGAAATTTTAAGGGTAATTTTGATTATATATAATATTTACCTTCTATATTGATTTAAAGCCTAATCTGTATCTTTTACTAAATAGAAGTTATATCTCAATTTTGGTATAGAACTATGGAATCACTGTACTATACACTTGGAACTAATGTAACACTATGCCAATTATACTTTAATAAAAACTAAAAATAAATTAAAAAATTAAACCTCAACTAAAAGTAAAAACTAATGCTTATCTGAAATGAAATTCTATGGTGCCACTAATCAATTTTTAATTCAATGCTTTAAAAAAAATCTGAGACCGAGAATTTGGTGTTGGAATAATAATCAAAACTAAACATGTAGGCTAACAGGTATCTCATATTCCTGATTCTTTGGTGAAAGTACGTATTATTTTGCCCTCTGAGAAAATTGTTATTATAATAGTATTACAGTGTAACAGTAAACAGTGTAACATTTTTAAAAAAGATTTTATTTATTTATTCACGAGGTATACAGAGAGAGAGAGAGAGGTAGAGACACAGGCAGAGGGAGAAGCAGGGTCCATGCAGGAAGCCTGACATGGGACTCAATCCCCAGACTCCAGGATCACGCCCTGGGCTGAAGGCAGGCACTAAACCGCTGAACCACCCAGGGATCCCCAACAGTATAACTTTTAATAATCAAATATTAGGGCTACTGTGGCTAATGATATCTTATAAAGCATATATTAACACAATACAACTTATTAATACAAAACAAACATTAATGGCTACAACCAAAGGAAACAAATAAAAGTAGACATGAAGTAGTTTTCTTACTTCATACATATTACTTCTGAAAAAGAAACTACCATCTAAGAGTTTAAATACTATAAGGAAGTAGTGCAACAGTGAAATTTTAGGTGAATAATACACAATTTTGCATTTAAAGAGATTTTAAAATTCAGAATTTGGATTAAGCGCAGTAACACCTTCTCTTCAAGTTCTAAAAGAAAGATCTCCAAGTATGCTACTCTTATAAACTGAGATATTTTAAAGTAATACTTGACACTGCATTTTTTGTACCACACTTCCTAGTTAAAACTGTGAAACATTTAGTTCATGTTCTATAATCATAAACCATAAGATAGGCAGAGCAGGATTATTATTCCCATTTCACATATTCAGATACAGAGGCTCAGAGATTTCTGGTTATGCACCTAAGTTCACATATAGTAAAGGATAGAACTAATACTCAAATTCTAGGTCTTCTGCCTAATGATTTTTTTCCTATGCCATGCTATTTTAGAATGACTATTATAGAAGCAGCCATATACTGAATATGAGAGCAGAGCACTAGACTAGGGAGTCTAGAAAATGAGTTTAAAACACCCTTTAGGGTGTGCCTGGCTAGCTCAGTCAGAATATGAGACTCTTGATCTTCAGGGCTATGAATTCAGGCCCCACAGAGGGTTTAGGGATTACTTAAATAAACATAAAACAAAACAAAAACATTTTAAAAAGTTAGAAACTTAATTGTATAGAAGAGATATAGTCTGGCGCTTATTATTCTCAAAGTATTGCTGAGGCACCTATCTGCCTGTGTGAGAATTTTTACCAAGCAGCAGCAGTCACATCCTCCCCCAAGCCCAAATTACCACTACTTCCATTTACTGCTTATCCTGTGGGAATGAGGAGAGGAGGCAGGAGGTTTAGGTGAGTACACCACATATAAACCTATGTAGCTACTGGATCATGACTTTTAAAAGTATATTCTCTCTGATCCAGCTAGCAACTTAAGAAAATATTTTATAATTTACAAATTTCTGAAATGTCACTCTTCAATGAACATAAAAACATATTTCACTTACCGCTGGGGTAGGAGTCTATCATTAGCCAGGTAGCCTGGTTTATGAATCTCTTTATTATAATCTCCGTATTTGGCTTGGACAGCATAGGAAGCCAAAAGAACTGCAGTTTCTGGCGGACAATAGATCTCATCATTTAAGATAGCTTCCTTAACTTGCAAGAAGAAAAGTCTCTGGGTTATTTCTTGAATTAATTCCTCAGAAACATCTTCAGGAAAGAATTTAGCTCTAAATTTGAACTGTAAAGGATTCTCTTTTTTAACATCTTGCTGTGTCACCTGGAACAGTGATTTCAAGCATAATCAACAAAAATCGCAAGTTCACATCAAACTCTTTTGAAGAAAGTAGGATGTGAAACACAAATAAGATTCTAAATCCATAAGTAAGACTCTAGTGTGCAAGACTCTAAACTTATAAAAAGGTATGTGAGAAAAAAGATTCTATGCGCTAACAAATGTCTTGACCTATGACTCATAGGTCCTGTCTTATAACGAAACTGAAATTTCCCTTGAAAAACTTTTCCTATAGATATTCAAATCAAAGTCAAAACAGTAATCAGTTACGTCTAATAAACCTTTATTAGGTGTTAAGTTTTCAAACAGGTAAAGTGAACATTTCTTTTTTCTAAAACATAAGTTGATGGTAACTTACTGAATTCAACGACATAACACCTTTAATAACTCAGAGATAATTCTAATTGTAAAAGGAGACTTGAAATTAGACTCTGAGCTTCTTTAGTACAAATTCCTGATCACAGTAATTTCAAAGTAATTTAATTATTAGCTTAGTTTTATACCTATTTTACCTTTTTATTTAGTTTAAGCCATGTAGAATAACCTTTGCTGTCCACATACTGCAGTCCAAAAAACCACACCTCACGCAAACCAACTGTTTTCACCACCTTAAAAAAAGAGGTTCAATTTCAGTTCAACATTCACAGTCTAAGTAAATAATATATTTCAAAAGAAAAACAAAACTACATGGGCATTATAGGTATATTTATTTGCTAGAGTTCTTTCTTAAACGGAAATATACTAATAACAAGAACATTTCTTAAAACCTAAATTCAGGTTTTGTATATTATATTTTGTCTCATTTCAATCTTATTTGATCCACTTTTTTTTATTTGTTCTCATCTCCCATCATGACCCCAATAGATTAACAAGAAATATGGGAAATAGATACAAAACTATCATAATCCCACTATCCTATTTCAATGTATTCCTACAACTACACAACTAAGTAGGCAAAGCATAGTATCATTTTGGTGATAGGAGTCTCTGAGGACATTTAAAAGCCAATACCCCAGGTTATCCAACTGGTCATTTCATATCCACTTCTACTACCCTTCACTCACCATCAGATATTCTGTTCTTCCCTTATTGAGCAACAAACAATTCTTGGAACATGCTCCAACTGTACTTTCTACAGCCCTGCTCACATTTTTCTTCTGCCTAGAATGTTTCTTCTGTATTTTTACCACCCAGCGAATAATTTATTCCTCAAGGCCCAGCTCAACTAACAAGCCTTCTGTGAATAAAGCTGTCCTACTATATAGAGAAAATTAATCACTTGATGTTTCCATAGTATTTTATTTATACGGTTACTGGAACATTTACTCTATTATATGGGTATCAAGGGGTGCAGGGGGCCCTCTATTATCATAAAGAACTGTATGATTACTGGTATATCTATTTACCCTCCCTTCACTGCTTAAAACTAAGAACAGACATTACTGCCTTATTCATCTCAAAGCATGACTGGCCTGTGCCAGACGCTCAAAGCATTGGAATGGCTAAAGTGGTGAGTGAGGACCCACCTAGGAATGCACCAACACTTGCAAAAGCATATTAAAAAAAAAAAAATCTCTATTAAAACAGAATGAGGCAAATGAGCCAAGAGAGGTGAGAATTTATTAATATTTTAAAAGTTTTACAGAAAGATTCAACATTAATTTTTTTCTTTATAAGATCTTCTCTATTTTAGAAAGAGAATGAGAAAATCTGCGAATAGGGTGAGGAGCAGAGGGGGAGGGAGAAAGAAGGGGAGAGGATCTCCAGAAGACTCCATGCTGAGCATGGAGCCAGACATGGGGCTCCATCTCACGACTCTGAGATCATGACCTGAGCTGAAACCAAGAGTTGGATCATTAACCAACTGAGCCACCCAGGTGCCCTTCAACATTAGTTTTAAAGTGATAAATATTCTTGGCTTATTTTTTTAAAATATAAAAACAGGGGCACCTGGGTGGCTAAGTGGTTGAGCATCTATCTGCCTTTGGCTCAGGTTGTGATCCCGGGGTCCTGGGATCGAGTGCTGCATCAGGCTCCCCACAGGGAGCCTGCTTATCCCTCTGCCTATGTCTCTGCGTCTGTATCTCTCATGAATCTTTAAAAAAGCAAAAAATCTAAAGACATATCAGGCTTTTGGATTTCATGAGAGCATACCAAACCCTTCAGTTTACTTTCCTTCTCTTAAAAAAATTTCACTGAAATTACACACACCAAAATAAATAAAGATAGGAGATATCATCAGGACTCAGAGTGATACAAAAACTGATCAATGCCAAACAACCAAAACTTTAATATAACAGAGAAGATCCCAAATAATTTAACTTTGCCAAAAGACAGGCTGTCCCAACAGAAGAGCCCCAGAAAGGATTCCAGCTCATAGTGGCAGAGTAGGGAATTTTCATAGGTCAAGACAGGAGTGTATCAAAGTAGCTCGGCTCAGTTTCTGCCTCTAGATTTTGTGTGATTTCTGATGCCTAAGTAAAGGTGGGATTTGCCACTGTGGGCATGAAGGATAGGACCTTACCTAACTTGAGACTATCAAACACCAAGAAGAACAAAAGAGCTCAGCTGTGAGCTCAGCTCAGCCCTATCTCTTCAGCACCTTCCCTACTACTTCTCAAAGCATTCTCAGAAACTTTCAATCACATACTTTCATAAGTAAAAAACAAAAACAAAAAAAAAACCTGGGCACTTAACTACAATATATGTATATTTACCTAGAAATTATACACATACACTCATACTAATGCATTATGAAAGCTTTTTAAAGTAACTTCAAAAAGACAAAAATATAAGCAAACATTTTAGTATTTTTTCCTTACATTCTAACAGATCATGTTGAATGCTTCTTCGGGGTATGATACTCTAATCCCACAGGTAGAAGCTGGAAGAGGATGATAGTATAGGAAGAATCAGGGAGCAAACCAAAGGACCTCAAGCACTCAAGTAGAGTCCCCTACACATAGCTGCTAGCCTCAAGCTCATCATAATCAGAAGTGGGCTTTGCTACTGATGGACTCATGTTGCTACGTACCCTCATTTGAGAGGGTAGTAGTCTATTCCTGGCCTAACCCTGAACCCTTCGTATCTGCCAATGTATTCCATATCACCACCATACCCAAAGTAAAGCCTGCTTTTATATCCTTATATTTGGGCTCAAGAGAAGTTGTGGGGAAACAACAGTGACTCTAAGAATTAACTGCTGAGAGAGCACATTACAGATAATACTCCTTAACCTAGAACTTCATTTACACTATGAAGTGTGTTTGTATGTGTATCAAATACAGAATTAACATGGATTCTCATTTAATTCCCACAGCCTTCTAAGGGAAGAGTGCTATCATCACCCTAATTGCACAAATGAAACCTTAAGGCACAGAGAGTAATTTGTCCCAAGTCAAACGCTACAGCTGGGACTCCACTGCAGGCAGTGTGGCTTCAGAGCCCACATTTTTAAACTACTACTCAGTCCTGCACTATAATAAATGAGGTTTCCTTTCTCCTGATATCTAAAGTAATTCTACTTAATAAAAAACAAGTAATTTATTTCTTAGTATACAATACCAAAGAAGCCCACTTGCTGATTAGCTGACTACCACAAACATTTCCCTCACTATAAATAACATTTCAACTTGCTATGAAGTACAACGAATGCTAACTCCATTCATATTTTTATTCAAGTAAGATTGATGATATATTTACAAACAGGAAGCTTAGAAGAAACAACAGAAGTAGATCAGAGTTCACAATGTAAAATATGTATAAGGTACGGCATATGTAGATGCTTGTGATTTTAAGAATTTGTTCACTCTACAAAAAACCTTTCATGTTACAAAAGACCTTAACAGGACTTTCAAGATCATCAGTTACCTAATCAGAAAGATTAAGTATACTACTTTGTCAAGAAAGGAAACAACTTCCTAGGAATTTTTAAATTTTGTATCATATTTTAGATTAATATATGATAGAATGACACCTAATAAAAGCAAAATATCTACTAGGTTACTTATTGCTGTATGCTAGAAACTCTCCTGTTCTGTTCTCCAAGGTCAAGGAGGTCTGACCACAGACTACTACTCTCCTGCCCATATGTAAAAGTCCATGTAAACATCCTCTCTTGAGTCTCATGCCCTCAACACCTTCCCCCCCTTATAATCATCAAGTCACACTCCTAATTACTTGGCCACTGGGCACCAATCTCCATCCTCCCCTTCTCAATAAAACATCACTTACAACACATACTGCATCACCTGGGGAGCTTAAATAAATAAATACATAAAATACTAATGATTTCCAGTAGTCCCCAGAGAATTAAATCAGACTCTCTGGAGGTGGTCACCAAGCATTGCCTTTTTTTCTTTTCCTAAAGCGTCACAGATGACTCAAATATGTACTCAAGAGTGAGAAAAATAATACAGGACCAGTAGTCCAAATTCATTAACATGACAACCTTGTTAGCTTATCACGAGCCTATGACACCAAACTGCCGTCACGTGCCTACTTACAGCCTGTAATTCTTGGGCCTTTGCCCCTGCCATCCCCTCTGGCTAGGATCTCCACCCATTCCACCATGTACAGTATCTTTTAATTCCTTTCAATTCTCATTACAATGCTTTCCTTAATATTAAAGAAATACTAATAATTATTTTTTTAAAAAGTCCTATCTCTCCAATCTATACAGCTGTTCAAGTTAACTGAATAGGTACTATGAAAAATTCTAAGTGCCACACTATTGCAATACCAGTCAAGTTACAGAAAAACATACAAAGAAGTTGTAAAAGCTTCCACTCTAAGTTGTCAAAAGTTGTCTTCATGTGGTTAAATGATACCTGGTCAAAAAGTTGTTTGCCAGTCGTATTGGGCTGAATGGCAAATTCCAGCTCAGCATCCATGGTGGTTACTCTTACATTGATCTGCAATAAAAACAGAAGGGAAAATCACTATCAAAAGAATATACTTGTTAAGCATTAAACATGAGGCAATATTTTTATATGATTTATAAAATAAAGCATAATATGCAGGCAATAAAGAGCTACTACATAATTATACCTAAGATTTTCTTTTTTAAAATGATAAACTTTGATTTTAATCACAGGGAATCTTAAATCTATTTTAAAAAGACCTTACAAAGTCCTCTTTTAAAAACATTTATTGAATATTTGGAATACACTAGACACTAGAACATTAGCTTTCCATGTTCTCATTTAAGCCCTGAAACAATACTAGGAAATATGTTCATTTCTACAGAAACTAGAAGGGTTCTCAATACTTCCCCAAGGGCACAAGGATATCAAACAGCAGAGTAGGTCTTTCCGCTGAGACATAACTCCAAATTCTTTGAATGGTATCCACTATTCCATTTTTCAACACCAAGTTCAGATACTCAATTTTATTCCAATTGCAAAACTATTCAATTTATAAAAAGTACTCATCCACTGACCTTTATTTGTTAGACTCTATTTTAAATTATTTTTTCTATAAATACATTCCTAGCTGGATATCTCACCAAAAACTTAACATGCCTTAACTAAAATAATTTTAACTTCAGAATAGCATCTTCATCACTTAGAATTCACCACCATGTGGTACAAATTGATTTAACTTTAACTCACACTATGAGAACTCTAAATCTGACTTACATTTTTTTACTCATTCTTAACAACCACACCTCTGCACATGTAGCTTTTCTCTGAAATGCCTTTTCTAATCAAATAAATCTTATAGATTTATAATAATATCTATTAGGAAATATTCATACACATAACACATGTAGCATATGTAAACAATAAAGCATAATAACAAAAAACCTACAGTGATATAATAAATATATATTTGGTCTTCATTGTTTCCTGGCCGAGAGCTCCTAAAACCGTTGGAGTTTCCTGAATGCTAGAAGTTAGTGGAGTATTCCATCATTTATAAGCCCCTGAATTTACACTAAATGACTCCTAATGACTCTCATGGACCCTTATACACCTTCAGGATGGAGACTGGTAAGAATCAACCAGGTAATTAGAGCCACCCACTCCAACCTCCAGGGAGGAGAGGCTGGGACGTGAGTTAATCATCAATGGCCAATGATTTAATACCTCATGCTTCATCATGGAAACTTCAAAAAAAAAAGCCTAAACAAAGGAATTCACAGACAGCTTCCAAGTTGGTGAATGCATCCACATGCAAAGAGAAAGGTGGACCTCAAATTCTACAAGGACAGAAGCGCCTGTGCTCAGGATCTTTCTGGACCTTGACCTATGTACCTCTTCTTCATCTTTATCTTTCACTCAGATCCTTATAATAGCCTATATATTAACCACTAACAATAAATAAAAGTGTTTCCTGGAGTTGTGTGAGCTATTACAGAGAATTCTAGTACCTGAGGAGGGGATCATCGGAATCTCCAATGTGTAGCCAAGTGAGAAATGTGGGTAACATGGGACCCACTACTTGTGATTGGCATCTGAAGCGGACAGCAGTCCTCTGGGACTGAGCCCCTAACCTATATTGTCTGTGCTAATCTGGGTAGCTGGTGTCAGAATGAATTAAACTGCAAAAATACATAACCGATGTCTACCTAGATGTAGAGAATTGTTTGATGTGAAAAACTTAAACATCTATTACCAGAAATTTTGAGTAAAGAAAGTTTTCCTTTACCCATAAATCTACTATTCAACTTATTAACTAGAAATGGCAAATAATTCTATAGATGCCAATGTATTTCTTGTGAATTTCTCTGTCCCCAATCCCCCACAGGTAAGCACTAACCGGAATTTTCTATTTGTCATTCTTTAAAAAGAATGGTTTGACTACAAATGTAGATATCTCTACATAAAGTAATTAGTTTTTCTTGATTCTGAGCTGTATTAAAGTTGTACAGTACTGGCTAAGCAAGTCTTCCTTCATGATGTGGGCAATGGTTACATGAGTATATTTACTTTATGAAAATTCATCAGATGCAATAAACGCCGGGACACCTGCACCCCGATGTTTACAGCAGCAATGTCCACAATAGCCAAACTGTGGAAGGAGCCTCGGTGTCCATCGAAAGATGGATAAAGAAGATGTGGTTTATGTATACAATGGAATATTACTCAGCCATTAGAAACGACAAATACCCACTATTTGCTTCAACGTGGATGGAACTGGAGGGTATTATGCTGAGTGAAGTCAATCGGAGAAGGACAGTGTATGTTCTCATTCATTTGGGGAATCTAAATAATAGTGAAAGGGAATAGAAGGGAAGGGAGAAGAAATGTGTGGGAAATATCAGAAAGGGAGACTGAACATAAAGACTCCTAACTCTGGGAAACGAACTAGGGGTGGTGGAAGGGGAGGAGGGCGGGGGGTGGGGGTGAATGGGTGACGGGCATTGAGGGGGGCACTTGACGGGATGAGCACTGGGTGTTATTCTGTATGTTGGTAAATTGAACACCAATAAAAAATAAATTTATTATATAAAAAAAGAAAATTCATCAACTACATGCAATATGTTCTTCTCAGTATGTATATTCTATTTCAATAAAAAGTTTAAACAAAAATTATACTTCATTGTAGTTTCCTTTTTCACTATTTCTAGGATTCATTGATTTTTCTGTGAGTAGTTGCAATTCACTCATTTTTACTGCTATACGATTACTGCTGGACGATAATTTACCTATTTTTTTGTCAATAGATATATATCTCAATATGGTCTTACTATGGAGATCTGATTCCTAACGAGGCTAACAATATTTTCGCATGCGTAGTATGCAGAATTCTAAGGTGGACTCCATGATCTCCATTTCCTGGTGTTAGTCTCATGATGATGCTACATTTTGTAGATGTACTTTTTTTTTTTAATTTTTATTTACTTATGATAGTCACAGAGAGAGAGAGAAAGAGAGAGAGAGAGGCAGAGACACAGGCAGAGGGAGAAGCAGGCTCCATGCACCAGGAGCCCAATGTGGGACTCGATCCCGGGTCTCCAGGATCGCGCCCTGGGCCAAAGGCAGGCGCCAAACCGCTGCGCCACCCAGGGATCCCTGTAGATGTACTTAAAGTTACTAATCAGTTGACTGCAAAACTGGAAGATTATGTGAGTAAAGCTAAGCTATTCATAGGAGTCCTTTAAAAGCAAAGCATTTTCTCTGACTGATTGAAGAAGTCAGAGAAACTCAAAGTGTGACAGGAATTTGACATAAAGGAGGTTCTCCACAACTGAGTTGGAGAGGCCATGGGACAAGGACCCGACACCAGCCTCTAGGAACTAAGAGTAACTCCTGGTCAATAGCTAGTAAGAAAATGGGAACTTCATCCTCCAGTAAAGAAGGATGGATCATTTTTACAAGAAAACGAATTCTGCCAATAGGAATAAGCTTGAAAGAGAACCCAGAGCTCCAGCTGAGAATGTGGCTGGGGTAAACCTTGATTTCAGGCTGGTGTGACCCTGAGCAGAGAACCCAGCCACATTATCCCATATTTCTAACCTACAAAACTGTGAGTTATTAACGGGTATTGCTCTAAGCTACTAAATTGTGGTAATTTGTTATAGAATAATATAAAACTAACATAATACGTTTATTGACCCCTTAGTCTCCCCATCTTTAGAAATGTCTGTTAATATCTATTGCTTATTTATCTATTAGGCTGTCTTTTTCTTTTTACTATGTAGAATGTCTTTATGTATTCTACATATTAATCCTTTGTTATTTTTAATCACAAAAAAAATCGTATTTCTCCCAGTTGGTAGTTTGCATTCTACTTTAGGACATGTCCTTCTTTACAGTAAACACATTCTTAATTTTAATGTTGAATTTATCAACATTTTACATACAAGTATCAATTTTTTCGGCCAATTTAAGAAGTCTTCCTCCACTGTGGACTCATAAAAATGTGCTTATATTTATTTTTTTTTAAGATTTTATTCATCTATCCATTAGAGAAACAACGGCTGAGCCACCCAGGTGTCCCAAAGTTCTATTTCATCCTATAGTTCTATTTTTCAAAATCTGTCTTCAGTGATTTTTGCTTATGCTCTGAGATAGAGGTCTAATTTCATTTTTTAATTCCTGTAACAATAATGATATGGAGATTTAAAATATCTAAGTGATATATATTGGTAGTTAATTTGCTTCTTAAAGACTACTGTGTCACAGACCAAATATCTATAAGGTACAGAGTCTGAATCTGTGCTATTCTATTGCACTGGTTGATTAACTGTTCTGTCAAATCCACGCTGTCTTAATTACAACATCTTTAAATAAGTCTTGCTATCTGGTAGGGAAAGTCTCCTCTCATTATCTTCAAAACTAAGAGAATTATAGCTGGATGTATGACTACTGAGCTATAGGAGAACATTTCCCAAGGCCTCTTGCAATTAGATATGGCTCTGTGACTAAGCTCTCACCCACAGAACAAGAGCAGAAGAGATACAGACCACTTTTGGACCTCGGCATAAAATAGCAAGCATGCTTCTCTGCTTTTTCCTCTCTTGTTGCTGAAACCCAGACAGAGCAGTAACACCTTAAACTATGGAAATAATAATAATCCTCTAGGCCAGAAGTTCTCAAACTTCTTGGTCTCACCATCTCTTTACACACTTAAAAATTACCAAGCATAGGGGATCCCTGGGTGGCTCAGCAGTTTAGCGCCTGCCTTTGGCCCAGGGCGTGATCTTGGGAGTCCCGGGATTGAGTCCCACATTGGGCTCCCTGTACGGAGCCTGCTTCTCCCTCTGCCTGTGTCTCTGCCTCTGTGTGTCTCTCATGAATAAATAAATAAAATCTTAAAAAAAAAAAATTACCAAGCATCCCCAAAAGTTTTTGTGGCTTATCTATCTACATTTACCACATTAGAAATTAAAACTGAGAAACTTAAGATAGTAATTCATTTAAATACAATAACCTTATTAAATATTAACATAAATAAAAATACAAATATTTCTTATAATGTTTAATAAAAAAGCACTATAATACAACTTTTAGAGCTTTTTCATTTCTTCCTAGCAATAATTCTCTGATATATTAAGGGTAATCAAAGCACTTATTATTAAATCACCTTTACGTTAAATAAATAAATTAAAAAAAAAAAGGGATCCCTGAGTGGCGCAGCGGTTTGGCGCCTGCCTTTGGCTCAGGGCGCGATCCTGGAGACCCGGGATCGAATCCCATATCGGGTTCCCGGTGCATGGAGCCTGCTTCTCCCTCTGCCTATGTCTCTGCCTCTCTCTCTCTCTCTCTCTCTCTCTCTCTCTCTGACTATCATAAATAAATAAATTTTTAAAAAAATTTAAAAACAATCACCTTTACGTTATAACTTAAAAACTTGACCAAGATTACATATCTAGTAAGTATGAAGCTGAGCCAACAGGATCAGTGTAAAATATGGTAAACAAACAAAACATGGAAATCAAATTTCTCCAAGCTTTCTGTTTTGAAAAATCAGACTCTTTTCTCTTTTGCAGAGGGGCAGGTAAGGGGGGGGCTAATTATATCCTGACCTAAGAAATTTACAAGATAAAAGTATATTACTATTAACATATTTTCTTCCAGAATTTTATGTTAATAATATATAATTTATATCCAACTGCATATACAATTTTGAATCCTCACTGTAAGGAATAATAAATGTTTTACACTTGATTATAGTAAGTTTTCCAAAGTGTAAAGTTTCATGTTCCTATCAGAAATATCAACAGTTCTGGTTGCTTCTCATCCTTACCAACACTTGATATTATCAATCTTTTAATTTTAGCCCTTAAGGTGACTATAAAATGGCAACTCACTGTAGTTTTGTTTCTTTGTAATGAAAGATAGAGAGGATCTTTTCATGTGTCTGCTAATTATTAATACGTTTTTTGAAGTATCTGTTAAAAGTTTTTGCCCATTTTTTAAAAATTGGGTTATCTTACTGAGTTCCAGAAGAACTTTATCTTGCAATTACTTTCTCCCATTCTGTTTTATCTTTTCATTTTTTTATTGCTGTCTTTCAAGAACAAAAGTTTTTAATTCTGATAAAATCCAATGTGTTTTTTTTTTTAATGGTTCAAACTTTCTATATGTTATCTAAGAAACTTTGCCTATCCCAGTGTCACAAATGTTTTCTTATGTTTTCTAGCAATTTTATATTTTGGGCTTTTGTATTTATTCTATGCTCCACTTAAAGTTAATTTTGTGTGTAAATTGTGAAATAAGTGTCAATATTCATGTTCTTCTCTACGGATAACCCTTTGTTCCAACACTATTTGTTAGAAAGAACTTTATTTCCCCATTGAATTGTGTGAAAATCTTGTCAAAAATCTAATGAATGCATATGTGTGGTTATAGTTTTGTTCCACCAATTCTATTTTAGCTGTCCTTTCACCAATACCACATTGTCTTATTCTTCTAGCTTACAAAGAAGTCTTAAAATCCAGAAGTGTGAGTTTTCCAACTTTCTTCTTTATAAAAATTGCTTTAGCTATGCCATATAAATTCTGGAAGTTCTATAGACATTTTACAATCAGCTCATCAATGTTAGCCAAAGAAACTGCTAGTAATTGCATTCAATCTACCATTACATTTGGGTAGGAGTGACACCTTAATATTTTCTAGACATATCTATTAACATTACAGAATATTATCCCATATATTTAGGTCTTGAATTTCTCACAAGTTTTCAGTGTAGAGATTTTATATAGCTTCTGTAAATTTATTCCTAAGTATTTTATGTCTTTGATGCTGTTACAAATAGACATTTTTACTTTATTTTTCAAATTTTGCTACTAGTATATAAGAAAGGTCACGGATTTTAAAAAATATAACCTTGGGTCCAACAATCTCACTAAATCAGTTATAGTTCTAGTAGTTGTTTCTAGATTCTTGAAGATTTTCTACATAAACAATCATGTCATCTGCAAACAGGAAAATTTACTTCTTCCTATCTGATGTTAATGCCTTTTATTTCTTCTTATTCTTCTCTCCTTCCAACAATGCAAATTCATACTTTGTTACCTACCTGTTGAGTCTTTAAAGAAATTCCAAAGAGATATCCATGCCAGACAGAAACCTCCAATAGCTATTAACCAATGATTTGCTTAAAAAGATAATTGGCCAAAAGAAATATTGAAAAAAAAATCCCAATTTTGTTAGATGAAGTAAAAACATTTATGCCAAGAGAAGAAAAATAAACCTCAGTCAAGAACTATATAATTATAAAACTAAGTAAAATCATATATACACCCTTAAATTTAAAAAAAAAAATAGAAAACTATACGAGCATTGGTAGGACTAGAATCAAAGCTAGAATTATGAGAAAATTAATGCATGGATCCTTCCAACTTTTCATTAATTCCTCCCATCGAACAAGAAGTTACTATTTACTAAGCACTGAATGTGTACCGAGTTCTTCTAACTCTCACCAAACCCCTCTAAGTAAGCAACTAATTACATCTCTACTTTTTATAGGAAGAAATTAAGAATTGGAGAGTCTAAAGTAATCTAACTGAAGTCACAGAGGGTAAGCAGCAGAGCCAGGATATGGACTGAGACAGTTTGGGTCCAGAGCCCATGAATTTTCATCTTAACTGCAATGTAAGCTATACCTCTTCTCTACTGGCTTACATAGTACTTTGTTGAAGCTACATTAATCAAGAACAAGCAACAGCAGTTATCAGTGTCTTTTTCTTCCCAATGACTCTACCATAACATTTTGCCTTGTTCCAAAAGAAATTTAATGCTCCTGATATTTTATTAAGAAGTGGTAAAAGTAAAATACACTTACTGGTTTCGGCATTTTCCTTCTCTTTTTGTCACCTTTAAAAATTGACTTTTATGAATTCTGATGTCACCTTCAGTTAAAGAAAAAAAAGCATAATGGATCTATTACTTTTGTATAATGTCTTGATTTTAATGTAATTTATATAGAATAAAAAAAGACTTTAAACTGAGTTTAACACAAAGCTCTCTAAAAAAAATTAAAGTAACAGAATTCTCTTACTCCAATCTTCAATGTTCTTTTACTATCATTTCACCTTCTCTAAAAATATTTATAGCTGTGATTTAAAATAGCACACATATCAAACAACATATTCCAATGCATACTGATCACCAACCGAAAGTTTTGATTTACTCAGAGACCATGCATAGCAGGGAATCAAAACTGCTAAGGACCTAAATGCTGTCTCTGGCTGCGTCCAGTTAACCTCTACACCCAGCCTAGGAGACAGAGGGATAGTAAAGTGGAAGATATAGATTCAAGTTCTAAAGAGATGAACTCAAGAACACTTTCAACCTTTTTTTTTTTTTGCACTGCCAAAGACAAAGGAAATTCTAATGTAAACTCTAAAAAGATAACTTTTTATTTTTTTATTTTTTTAAAAGATAACTTTTTAAAGAAAATTATTTTCTTCTTGAAAGTTTAAAAATCCCAGTAAAAATATACTGAGTAGTTTATCTACGGTGTATTAAACAGCCACAGACTACATACTAGCAGTCTGCATATTACTTACCAGCAAGTTGGTGGCCTTTACTGAAATTTAGTTGTCCTTGAGACCAATGTTGAACTGTATCTTCTCCCTGTAAAGCAAAAGAAGTGAATCCTAATCCAAGAAAACCGTCATGCTATACTGTTTTAGGGTAAATGTTCTTAAAAACATCTAACAAACCAAAAAAAACAAAAAAAAACAAAAAAACATCTAACAAACCAAAAGATTTAACATTTTTAATCATTATTAGTTGTCCAGAAAAAAATGATATATTATTCCAATTTGAAAACCTTCAGGGAGGTATATTCAATTATTATTTGAAAATCAGCTTCCATTGATACTATCTCTGCCAAGAAAATTCATCCATTATACCAGCATCAACTAAATCAATACACAATTTTGTATCGGGATCCCTGGGTGGCGCAGCGGTTTGGTGCCTGCCTTTGGCCCAGGGCGCGATCCTGGAGACCCGAGATCGAATCCCACGTCGGGCTCCCGGTGCATGGAGCCTGCTTCTCCCTCTGCCTGTGTCTCTGCCCCTCTCTCTCTGTGTGTGACTATCATAAATAAATAAAAATAAAAAAAACAAAAACAAAAACAAAACTACAGTATCAATTGCTTTCTTAATATGCTACAATAAACCTGAAAATTTACCAAGTCAAAAAAAAAAAAAAAAAAGACAAATCATGAGAGACTCCGAATTCTGGGAAACAAACAAACCATTGCAGAAGGGGAGGTCGGTGGAGGGATGGGGTAACTGGGTGATGGGCATTAAGGAGGGTACATGATGAGATGAGGTGTTATACTATATGTTGGCAAATTAAATAAAATATAAAAAAATAAACATCAAAGGTCATTTCCCTAAATTTTGCTCAATTATGTGTCAATAAACCTCTCTTTAAAAGGAACTTCTATCTGAGATAGTTTTTATCTAATAATTCAACTATGAAATTCACTTCCCTAACTCTTACCTAGGAAATGTTAACACTTCCTCCACACAGTCACCTACTTTCAGAATCCTAAATGTACTTCAGACCTATCTTTTCATTCTATATCCTCTTTTCATCCCACTCCTGCCTTAGTTCAGATCCTTATCACCTCAGGTCTTAAAACATCCTCAAAACTGACCTGCTTTTCACATCATTTATAAGTTAGTAATTCCCAAATCTGTATCTGAACTTGCTTGGTTAATTTGCCTTACTCAATGTCTACATTATTTCAGATGTAACATGGCTAAAACATTTAAATCTCTACCCAAATCTGATTTTCTACAAGTCTTGGTGCATATTTCTAGAAAGTTATCATAGTATTCCCTCGTGATTTTTTTTATATCTATCACATTAGCAGTTATGATCCTCTCTTCATTCCTAATACTATTAAATTTTACCTTCTCTTTTGCTTGCTAATCTTGCCAGAAGTTTGCTTAGTTTATTTTTTTTAAGATTTTATTTATTTATTCATGAGAGACAGACAGAGAGGCAGAGACACAGGCAGAGGGAGAAGCAGGCTCCATGCGGGAGCCCGATGTGGGACTCGATCCTGGGACTCCAGGATCACGCGGCGTCCTGGGCAGAAGGCAGGCACTAAACTGCTGAGCCACCCAGGGATCCCCAGTTTATTGGTTTAAAAGCCAGCTTTTAGTTTCGTTGATCTTCTGTTTTTTTTTTGTTCTTTTTTTGTTAATTTCTTTTTCCTCATCACTCTTCATTTCGTTAGTTGGCTTTACTCTGTGGCTCATTTTCTAATCCCTAAAATTAAAACCTTAAGTAATTCCCAATTTGTTTTCTTTTCTAGTATGTGCATCAAGGTCATAAACTGAGTACGTCCAAGTATAAGGCAACTCCATATATAAAGTATCCTATTTTGTCGAGAATATTTAAAAATAATCTTTATCATTTGAATATATAAGGTAATCAAGTATTTATAATATTAGTATACTTAAATACTAAAAACACATGATCTATAAAATATTGAAATACTTTTTGCTTTATTTTTTTCACAGAACATAGAATTTCTTTAAAAATCCTCACACAAATGAGAGAGATTATACAAGCACTTTTTGAATCAATATATAATACTATTACTAAAATTTTTATCCCAAACCACACTATCTATTCATATAAAAACACTGGGAAATTTTTTTCCTATTTGTACTGTTGGAATATATTTTAGTTCTATAGTGTAACCACTGTATTGTTTTTTTTAAAACCAGATTTTCTAGATTTGCCTCTGTTTTAATGTTTAAAACACTTACCAAATGGACTGTGAGAGCTTTCCAAACCCACATGTACTAAAGGCATTTCAGGTCCATATGCCTGTCTTAAATAGTACTTTCAAGCCCAAGAAAAAGAACAAAGTCATAAGAGAGTTCCTAAAAACACAAATATAAATCTCCTTTCCTGGGGATTTTTTTTTTTAATGTCTGGACTTCTATTTAAAATCATACCATTTTTCTAAGCAAAATAAGTCAATCAGAGAAAGACAATGATTTCACTCATGTGGAATTTAAGAAACAAAACAGAAGATCATAGGAGAAAGGAGGGAAAAATAAAAAAAGATGAATTGGGAGGGGACAAACCATAAGAGATTCTTAACTATAGGAAACAAACTAAGGGTTGCTGGAGAGGAGGTAGGTGGGGTGACAGGTTAACTGGGTGATGGGCAACAAGGAAACAAGAGATATGAAGAGCACTAGGTGTTAAATGCAACTAATGAATCACTAAACTCAACCTCTGAAACTAATACTATATATGTTAACTAAATTTAAATAAAATTAAATTTTAAATAATGACACCATTTTTCTAAGTATTACTTTTAGTGGTTTCACATACAGGTTTTCATATGCAGTTCTTTCATTGGCTCTAGAGGTTTCCCTTTCCACTTTTGATCTCTGATCATGACTGAGTTTTTTTTTTTTTTTCATTTTCAAATGGAATGGTTACTACAGTCTGGGAGCAAAGTGTACGTATGTATGTATGTATGTATGTATGTATGTATGTATGTATTATTTATTTATTTATTTATTTACTTACTTATTTGTTTAGAAAGAAATCACAGAGGGAGAGAGAGAGAGGGAGAGGCAGATTCCCTGCTGAGCATGGAGTCCAAGACAGGACTCAATCTAGGACCCCGGGATCATGTCCTGAGCTGAAAGCAAATCCTTAATGGATTGAGCCACCCAGGTGCCCCACTTTTTCTTACTTTTTTTTTTTTTTTAAGACTTTATTTACTTATTCACAAGAGACACAGAGAGGAGAGACACAGGCAGAGGGAGAAGCAGGCTCCATGCAGGGAGCCCAACGTGGGACCTGATCCCGGGACTCCAGGATCACACTCTGGGCGGAAGGCAGGCACTTAACCGCTGAGCCACCTAGGGATCCCCATATTTGTTTGTTTTTTTTATTTTTATTTATTTATTTATGATAGTCACACAGTGAGAGAGAGAGAGAGGCAGAGACACAGGCAGAGGGAGAAGCAGGCTCCATGCACCGGGAGCCCGACGTGGGATTCGATCCCGGGTCTCCAGGATCGCGCCCTGGGCCAAAGGCAGGCGCCAAACCGGTGCGCCACCCAGGGATCCCCCCCCCCATATTTGTTTTAAATCTTCCTTTTATCCTTATGTTTATTTTTTGTCACTATGAAACTATTCGATCTTCAGTTCATTACGGCTTATTTCTTTAATACAGACAGAAAACCCACTCCCCAATGTGGGAGTCCTGAAAGTCCTACGCTGTGTATATAATACACCCCTACAGAGGTACTTTGGGTTTGCTTATATCAGAATATCAGGAATTAAAAAAAAAATTAAAACCTGCCTGGCTGGCTCAGTTCATAGAGCATATGACTCTTCATCTCAGGGTTGTGAGTTCGAGCCCCACACTGAGTGCAGAGATCACTAAAATAGATAGATTTAAAAATTTTTAAGGCATTTAATTGTCCTAAGCCAATTTTTACATTAACTTCTCAATTCTGTATCCCATTACCATATCTTAACCCCAAAGCTACACACTAGAGAAGTCAGAAGACACTAGCTTCCACAGGTGCTGATCACATTCTTTTCTAGACCTTATGTATCTGCTGTGTCCTTCCTGGGCAACCTCAATAGTAAGGAAGAACACGGGAAAGAAAATGAGCATCAATTATACCCCAGACTATACAAACTAAGTTAAAGCACTCAAATTATAGAAACAGGCCAGCTGGGGACATAAGTATCTATCAAGTATGTAGGTTTGCAGAAATTTTGAAGTTACATATTAATCCAAAACTGGAATGAAATAAAGGTAAGTTTTTTCCTTTCCCTTTAAAAAAATAATTTATCCAAGTTTTCAATCCTAGAGTTACTTCAAGTTATACTCTATAAAAAGGACTTTTCAAGAAAAAAAATCAATACTAAAGTTTTAGGTTTTTTTTAAAAAGATTTATTTATTTATTCATTCTTAAGAGAGACACAGAGAGAGAGAGAGAGAGAGAGAGAGAGAGAGAGAGGCAGAGACACAGGCAGAGGGAGAAGCAGGCACCATGCAGAGAGCCTGACGTGGGACTTGATCCAGGGTCCCCAGGATCACGCCCTAGGCTGCAGGTGGCACTAAACCGCTGCACCACCAGGGCTGCCCAAGTTTTAGGTTTAATAAGAGAGCTCTGCAAACATAAAATAAATTTATCATATGCCAACACATACAAAACCAGGTTTTACACAAATGAACTAAGCTTTTAAAATCTCCAACAGGGATCCCTGGGTGGCGCAGCGGTTTGGCGCCTGCCTTTGGCCCAGGGCGCGATCCTGGAGACCCGGGATCGAATCCCATGTCGGGCTCCCGGTGCATGGAGCCTGCTTCGCCCTCTGCCTGTGTCTGCCTCTCTTTCTCTCTGTGACTATTATAAATAAATAAAAATTTAAAAAAAAGTTTTAAATAAAAATTAAAAAAAAATCAACAACTCATCTATATGAACTGTAGGGAGGGGGGATAAGGATATATGGTAGACTTCTAAAAAAGGCTTCTAAACTGCATGTTTTCAGATCAGTGTTTCCCTCTTAGAAGTCAGGTTAGTCACCACCTTGTTTTATTTCAGTTAATTACAAATATCTGAGAA